TCTGTTACGGGCTTTCATGTCTGATTTCAAATAAACGCATTTTTCTTTCTAGTTTCCATCTACATTAATTACAAATATTTTAAAGGCTACATACAGTGTTAATACTTACGATTCTATTGGCTTGTGTTCCGGTGGTCCTAAGTAAGCCAGTAATGTCGCCATCTAAAACAAGAATAACAATTTACAACACATTAACAATAAGTTACGACGATAGTCTCTACGATAGTGAGTTTGTAGCACTAGCATAACAACTCCGTAGCACTAGCATAACAACTCCGTAGCACTAGCATAACAACTCCGTAGCACTAGCATAACAACTCCGTAGCACTAGCATAACAACTCCGTAGCACTAGCATAACAACTCCGTAGCACTAGCATAACAACTCCGTAGCACTAGCATAACAACTCCGTAGCACTAGCATAACAACTCCGTAGCACTAGCATAACAACTCCGTAGCACTAGCATAACAACTCCGTAGCTGTATCCTAACAACTCCGTAGCACTATCAAAAAACTGCGTAGCACTATCATAACAACTCCGTAGCACCAGCGTAAAAACTGCGCAGCACTATCATAACAACTCCGTAGCACCAGCGTAAAAACTGCGCAGCACTATCATAACAACTCCTTAGCACTATCAAAAAACTGCGTAGCACTATCATAACAACTCCGTAGCACCAGCGTAAAAACTGCGCAGCACTATCATAACAACTCCTTAGCACTATCAAAAAACTGCGTAGCACTATCATAACAACTCCGTAGCTGTATCCTAACAACTCCGTAGCACTATCAAAAAACTGCGTAGCACTATCATAACAACTCCGTAGCACCAGCGTAAAAACTGCGCAGCACTATCATAACAACTCCTTAGCACTAGCATAACAACTCCGTAGCACTAGCATAACAACTCCGTAGCACTAGCATAACAACTCCGTAGCACTAGCATAACAACTCCGTAGCACTAGCATAACAACTCCGTAGCACTAGCATAACAACTCCGTAGCACTAGCATAACAACTCCGTAGCACTAGCATAACAACTCCGTAGCACTAGCATAACAACTCCGTAGCACTAGCATAACAACTCCGTAGCACTAGCATAACAACTCCGTAGCACTAGCATAACAACTCCGTAGCACTAGCATAACAACTCCGTAGCACTAGCATAACAACTCCGTAGCACTAGCATAACAACTCCGTAGCACTAGCATAACAACTCCGTAGCACTAGCATAACAACTCCGTAGCACTAGCATAACAACTCCGTAGCACTAGCATAACAACTCCGTAGCACTAGCATAACAACTCCGTAGCACTAGCATAACAACTCCGTAGCACTAGCATAACAACTCCGTAGCACTAGCATAACAACTCCGTAGCACTAGCATAACAACTCCGTAGCACTAGCATAACAACTCCGTAGCACTAGCATAACAACTCCGTAGCACTAGCATAACAACTCCGTAGCACTAGCATAACAACTCCGTAGCACTAGCATAACAACTCCGTAGCACTAGCATAACAACTCCGTAGCACTAGCATAACAACTCCGTAGCACTAGCATAACAACTTTGTACAACTGTCATAGTAACTTCATCCCATAAACTGAACTAACGATACGCCCTGGCTTCACACGGGTGCAATACTGATACAAAATTTCTCCACTATTTCTTGGATCTTACTATAAATATAAACCTTCCTATTCAATCACTCTGTCTATTACAAAAGCGCATCAAAATCAGTAGCGTAGTTTTAAAGATTAAAGCATACATATAGTCCAGTCATTTTAGGTTTCATCTGGGGAAAAATTCCTAGTGAGCTGAATTTTTGTATACACCTTTATTACAAAAATCGACATCGATATCGTGCCGGCTAAAAAAACTACAGAGGTCAAAAGGTCACGAAAACCAGTTTTCTGCAAATATTTCGCGACCCATTGCTCGGACGTCAATAGAGGTCTTATAAAAATTGTTAAAATGACTGGACTAATAGGGATATAGGGACAGAGAAAGCGACCTTGTTTTATACTATGTAGTTATATACTATTATTTATTCCCTTACCTTGTCAAAAGGCCTTCTACCAACGGCTTTATGATCCCGGCTACATGACAAATAGTCTCCGATCCTCTCCTGATGGTTCCACAGCAGTCTATGCAACGCCACGACGTTCGCATCGCTTATGAAGGACAGATTGTGCGATGTCTGGTCAATGGACTCGCAATCCGACGCGATTTGGATGAAAAACCTGGTGGAAAATATTGTTTTTTGTACTTAATTGAACAGTAGGCCAAATAATCTATACTAATATTAAAAAGAGGTAAAATTTGTAAGTTTGTATGTAGGGGGTGATCTTTGGAACCGCTGGTCAGATTGCCAAAATTCTTTCACTGATAAATAGTTACAATGTTCCCGAGTGCTATTGGCTATAAAACATCACGCTACGATTAAATGGAGCCGAGCAGCAGGTGAAACCGCGCGAGAGTAGCTAGTTTTTAATATAATAAATCGTAAGAGTCTGAAACTCAACATCGCATCGAAGAAGTCTTCTTCTTTCTCCTACCAAAAATACCTTCTTTCAGCGGCTTTTTCTGCAGTACCAGGGTAAAAAGTAGCCTATGTACATTCAGGGGTAAAAATGCAATTGCACTCTACCAATTTTAAAATGACCAAAACATCTTTGTAGAATAGAGTCAATGGTTGAGAACTGCTTTAATTTAAAGCATAGAATCTAAATTATTGAATAAACTGGCTGTGAACCATTGAACTTTTACTACAAAGAAATTTTTGTCATTTTAAAATTTGTAGAGTGTAATTGCATTTTTGACCCCTGACTGTACCTATTATTCCAGTTTTACATATGAAATACAACCATCTTTACTGTCAAATTTCCGCATTTTGGGATTAATTGTGGGCTCGCTAAGCTTCAGCACGAATAGGTCGGCTTAACTGGAGTGATACCATGGCCTCACAGAAAACCAGCATGAAACAACCACAGCGTTGTGTTTCGCCGTGTGAGTGAGGTTACCGGAGGCCCCATCGCTCCCCCTACCCTATCCCTTCCCGATCCTTATATGATTTTGAGATATACTTAGATATTTATTTATTTTTTTAATAAACGTTGCCCCACACTAGGATTTTCTCCTGTGTCGTGGGTGCGGTTACAAACATGCAATTTCACATACACATCACACCCAGACCCGGGACCCCTATATCCGCAACCCCTATCCCCAAAAGGCGGGCAACGCGCTCGTAACGCCTTTGATGTTGCGCGTGTCTAAGGGCGGCGCCGATAGCTTACCATCAGGTAATCCATCTGTTTATTTACCGTCCTATTATACAAACAAATATAAACTAACTTGCGTCCAGCCTCAAAATGCGCTCTAAGGAAGTGGTTGAATGGCAACATGTGCTGCTCCTTGGAGAACTCGACGTGGTTGGCGATGTTCTGCAGGATCTTGGACATCAGCATCAGGCCGCGCTTCACGTGGGGGGGCACTGGACGGTTCACTATGCCCATCTCTTGGGGAGACACTGTGGAGAAAGATATTATTATGTCATGGTGGCTCGGAGGTTAAGGTGTCCGCTTTTTATACATGAGACTTCGAAACCTGACAAGTACAAATGTGACTTTTTTCCGAGTTATATGTACTTTCTATGATTATTTAGACACCACTGGCATACGGAGAAGGTAAACATCGTGAGGGAACCTGGACTTAAAATTTCTAATTGCAAGTGGTAATTAATACTCAAGCCTTGTAAGAAGAAGAGGCCTTTGCTCAGCAGTGGGCACTTATAGGCTGATGTTGTGGTTTGCATTTGTAATGTACATACAAATAATTATATTAGCCATTAGGTAACTTTACTTTCAAATACAAATGAAACTCACCAATGGCGGGATTGATAAAACGTAGGAAGAGCACTGTGCCTACAGCGCCAACGCTGGTCTGCGGGAATTGTGCGAACCTCTTGCTAAGTACCTGCAAAAAAATTATAGTATAACTGTTATGTTTTAAAATTGTTATAATATTGTGACGGAAAAGTGGTTCAAACTCTTTGACATCATGACGTCCATGGATGGTTGTCAAACGTTGCCTAGAGATTGTAAATTTCGTCGTGAATTGTCAACACGAGTTGGTGTAATCGGTAAGGCGTGTGGATTACACCACAAAGACCCCGAGTTCGAGTCCCGCCGTAAACATGAAGTTTTTTAGTTGATGGAAGTTTTGTCGAACTTTCTGGAATTATTTGTGTGAAAGAAATGAAAAATTAAAGAGCGAGAAGGAGAATAAATAAAAATGAATAACGAAATTATTGGAAGGTTCTGGAGGCATGACGATCAAAAAGAATAACGAAATTGAATGTTCCAGAACCTGACCGGGGGTATATAAGCGGAACTGCGGCTCACCGCTGGCAGTTGAGTTCTAAGTCCAAAGCGATTCGGAAGAAAAGGAAGAAGTGGAAAAGAAGAAAAGTGAGTGAAATAGGGAAGTGCAGTGAAATAGTGAAGTGCAGTCAGTTAAGTGAGTTAAATCAGCGTGAACGGCAAAGTTGTGTCAGTCGGCCGGACTCTGCTGCAGAAGAACGCCGATAACTTAACTCGGTGGACACTGTCATTTAAGTGCAATAGAAAGTCTGAAAACCGGTATTAGTGTTTAATTTCATCCAATCCCGTAACCCAAGCCCGCATAGTCAGGAACGTGACGTCAGGCACGTAACAATATGGCAATAGCAGGGATGTTAGGGAGCTTTGTAACCGTAACCGAATGCGAAAAGAAGTTTCGGATAATATCGGATAGGGGCGGAGCCTAATTGAGACACGTTATGTTTGTATTTTACTTTCGAAATTCCTTAAAAAATTAATATCCTTAACTGAAATAATCCAAAACTAACGGACAATCTATATATATATATATAAATGGATCGCAAAATGTGTTGGTAAGCGCATAACTCAACAACGCCTGGACCAATTTTGCTAATTCTTTTTTTGTTGTGTTTGTTATTGTCAGGAGAAGGTTCTTATCTAAGAAAATATCAGAAAAGTAGTGGGGAAGTTTAGGAAAAAGTGACCTGTGAAAGTGAGAAGCGAGATAGTTGGACCCGTGCGAAGCGGGGGCGGGCCGCTAGTCCGAAATAAAATTTCATATCCTACAGATGCTGTAGCCAGTATAATTATAATACGTATCCAGTAATTCGGCTATCATTGTACCGATAGTCGTTTCAGACAATGGCTTAATAGCCAAGAGCCTCGACCAACATTTTAGGAGGCTCTCGTTAGGTGGCTGGATCAAGGGCTTGATTCAGAAAGTGGTACTCCTGGACACGGCTTATATTGTCAGGAGGTTCCTTTCTCTGGAACCCTATTCCCGATACCGACGGGACACTATTTTTTTTATACTTTTAAATGTTTTTTTTTTATCTATCATTGTATCGATAGTCGTGTCAGACAATGGCTTAATAGCTAAGAGCCTCGACCAACACCTTAGAAGGCTCTCGTTAGGTGGCTGGATCAGGGACTTGATTCAGGAAGTGGTACTCCTGGACACGGCTCATATTGTCAGGAGGTTCCTTTCTCTGGAACCCTATTCCCGATACTAGAGGGACACTATTTTTTTATATTTTTAAATATTTTTTTTTTTATTTTAAATATTATAGTTTTATATGTTAAATAAAAAATCCAGTATAATAATAATCATCCGTACCCGAAATTTCTTGCTATGCTATTGCTTAGCATAGCAAAATCAATCTTATACCAAACGGTACAAAACTGAAATTCATTTAAGCAACCAGCACAAACTTAACAAATTAATTTCAACCTTAAAACAAACTAGTATAGTTACCTTTTACTTTTACTATCACCATATCCAAATAAAAACACCAAACAAATCCCAACTTTACTACCAACAAAATAAAGCTATATTTCAATTACCTGGTACAAACAGTGGCACATGCTGCGCAATTGCGGCGGGAACTTATCTGCAGACCCGACGATCCGATCGAAGACCTCCTTAGTGAGGTCTATTAGGTTAGACCTGTTCATTTCTATGTCTTGGTTTGGATCTAGTCTGAAAAGGCAAACGGCAGTAATATACATACAGTATAAATTAATATACATAACATTACAAAAAGTATGCGGTACAGGGTACTAGAATTTGTACTACTTATTAAGGCAGCTAAGCTATTAATTTTTATGTAATTGTTCTATTTTTAGAAGCTGGGATTCATTATAAATATCAATAAAATGGTTTCAATAAACAAGCGCACTAAAATCGTAAAAACTGAATGCAGTCATGTTTTGAGAAGTTGGCATTGTAAAATAAGACAAATATTGGAATTATAAATAATTATTTAGAAGTGAGAATAACAAGTAACATAATGAAAGACGTCTATATATTAAACCTAACCTAAAATATTGTTTTATATACCTGTACTCTAAACCTAGTTAATACTTCATTATTGAGTGACTAGATGGATGAAAACTAGCGTTTCAGATGACTTTATTTTGTGTGTTAGGTTTTTGCCGTAGATGTTAACCACGCGCCATCACGCTCGGTCGTTGGGGAAACGCACCTATTGCTAACACCAGCAGCTTGGTTGTAACACTAGTTCGCAACCGTATAGCAAACGTTTGAATCACCAAAATAATGTTTATGTACCTTCAAATAACAATCTAAGCTAATACTCTAGTACATAACCTTAAAAAATAAAACTAGCTATAACTCTTATGTCCCAAATTTTAAAAATCCAACATTTTAGACATGGCTTGTTTGTCATATTAACTACCAATTAAACCAAAAAGTATCCCAAAACACGAAAAATTATTAGCGGTACAGGATTCCCATACAAGCCTGCCGTTTTCCTTAAAGGAGAAACCATACATCATTATAATCATTATTTTAATAAAAACAATTCTGTACGTTCCGAGATCAAAAATAAATTAATTCGAAGTTTTAGTACAATAAAATATTGAAAAATAACTATACTTATATTCATCGATCGATCGAAACACTATTTTTTTTTTATATTTTTTTAGCAATTTTTTAAGAAATAAGTAAGCTATTTGACGCAAACGTGCTATGACGTCATAACTCAGTGTTTCATACAAATTTCATAGAAAACTATCGTTCTTGAAATTTGGATAAAAGTATTGAATTTGACTAGTTGGAAGCTACCGTATTCATTGTCGACCTAGGAAACAAAAAGTATACTTTAAAAAAACAATAATACTATACTCGGAATTTTAATTCCATTCTAGATTTGACAATTTCAGTGTTGCAACGTTATGACAAGTAATAAATAGTGACCTTGCGAAATTATTCGATGTGGACATCGAATATTTCTGAATCGATTCCTCTCGTTTATAAATTTAATCTCGCAAACTAAGTTTATCAGGAAATAAAATATTTGTGAACCGATAATTTAGTTTTGACAATTAATTAACGATCTGAGACTTTTCTTTTGTAATTGTGTGTGAAATTAATAAAAAATGTAATCATGAAGGAACATGACAAATAAAACAGAAATTTTATAAATTGTCGCCGTCATCGCTATCGCTATCGCTGTTACTTTCTGTAGCATTTATTATGTATTGTGTCTGTGATTTTTATTGTCAATTAACATATCTAGCTTACTCATTTTTTCCTCTTCTTTGACAACGTGGGATACGCATTTAGACCATACGGTAGCCGTAATTTTTTGAATGCCTTCCTGAAACTGATCCACTGATTGTTTATCGATTTTTGTGTTCATCACTACACTGTTATATGTGGTATCATTATTTCACAAAATGACAATAGGTCATGTCAAATCAGGAATCGAATTAAAATTCTGACTATAATAACAAAAACAAATAAATACTCCAATATATACCTATACTTTGCTTAGAAAAAAAACTTCATCCTAATAATAATTTTAGCTACCAAACTCATTAAAACTTACCTAGCAGGGTCTACTTCGAAGCTGATATCCCCTCTTTCCTCAGCCTGGTCGAGGAGGGCTGTTATGAGAGGCTCCAACAGATTCTGAAGGTATCCATAGCCGTATATCTTAAAGCAGAACGCCATGATCTTGCTGCCTAAGGAGTTCCCTCTGAAGAGAGTCTGCATGCAGTCAGAGACCTGTCATGGAGGTAAGAGGTTAATTTTTTCTCTTTTCATTAAAAAAACGGATTTGAAATGAAGCTACGTATAACGGAAATGATATGTTCCATTAAAAATGCCAATAGAGGTAAAATTTGTAAGTTTGTATGTAGGGGGTAATATTTGGAACCGCTGAGAAGCTAGGAAATAATTATATAAAATAAAAATAATGCATGATTATTCGCAACTACTAGTTACCAATAGCCACTATAACCACTTCTTCGATAAATGGACTAACAAACACAAAAAGAATTGTTCAATTCGATGCAGTAGTTCCGGAGATTACCCCCTAAATACAAACTTAAAAACTTTACCGCTTTATAATATTACTAGCTACTTTCACGCAGTTTCACCCGCTGCGGCTCCATTTGATCGTAGCGTGATGTTTTATAGCCTAAAGCACTCAGGAACTACTTACAAATTTTACCTCTTTATAATATTAGTATAGATTGATTACTGAGTACTGACCTCAACTTCCCTGTAGAATATGTTCCACAGTAGGGGCGCTAGCAGATGTTTCGCGTCGAACAGCGTGACGAAGACTCGAGCGAGCTCGTCCATCTGCGAGGTACTCACCACGTTGGCCAGCGCCATCGCTATGGGGAGCTCACCCTGGGTATGTTGGGAGACAGACTTTTATATTTTATGAATACAATAATATACTAATATAAAATATAATAGATATAAACCCGGCATCGCCCGGGAGAAATGTGACATATAATAAAAATATGGTCTACGTTAAGTGTGTACGCCTTTGAGTACAATACGGTAGTTTCCAACTAGTCAAATTCAATATTTTTATTCACATGTCAAAAACGATACTTTTCTATGAAATTTGTATGAAATACTGAGTTATGACTTCATAGTTTTTTAGCGTCAAATAGCTTACTTATTTCTTAAAAATTATTAGCTAAAAAAATATCTAAAATTCATTGTATCGATCGATCGATGAACAAAAGTACTTATAGTTATTTTTCAATATTTTATTGTATTGAAACATCGAATTAATTTATTTTTGACCTAGGAAACTACCCAATTGCCCAGCCACTGCGCTAACCATGCAATTTTAGACATATTTTCAAAAGTCAAAAAGTCAAAAATCATTTATTCCAATTAGACCTTTACAGGCACTTTTGAACGTCAAACAAAATATAAAATAAAAAAATAGTGTCATTTGTATAAAGTAAAAACAAAATAGAAAAAAAAAACAATTAAATCTCTCTCCCCTACCTTATCAGAGATCATGGTGACTAGCTGAACCAGCTGTTCGAATCTGTCAGCTAAAACTGTCTCGGCCAGGGTATCGAACTCAGTCCCTTGCTGCAGTATCTTTGTTAGCACTTCCATAAACGCCGCTCGAGTCTGCAAGTCACGATGGTAGCCCAGGTCTGAGAACAAAATCATCGTCATCATCATCATCATTATCAGTGCCACACATGGATGCGGGTGTCCATAGGTAACACCAAAGGAGTTAACTTCTCATCCTGTAATCCCTACCTCCAAACAGATGGCATTCTTAATCCACGGAAACATAAAAGAAAACGTGGCGTTGGGGGACCGATCCAAACATTTTATTATCAACTACATATTTCTATTTATTTATTTTTTTATTTTGTAGTTTTTATAGATATTTTATATCATTGTCTCTCGATTAAGTCATCAACATTCCCTTCCGTGCGCTTTCATTTGAGTCCCCACTCGAGTATATTTGCAGACCTTCGGTTACCCTTCCCCATTTACCCCCCTAACTTCTTAACGGCTCAACCGATTTTCGTCAAACATGTCTAAGAACGCTCGCACGTAAGACGCCTTTAATACAAAAAAAAACTAAATTGAAATCGCTTCACCCGTTCAGGCTCCAGGATGCCACAGACAGACAGACAGACGCGTCAAACTTATAACACCCCTCTTTTTGCGTCGTAGGTTAAAAAATTGGGGAAAAAGCTTATAAACATTAGTTAAGTACTACAGATACATACCAATGCTATGCATTAGTCCAGAATCGATATTGGCGCTGAGCAAATTCGACATGGCCTGTATGGTAGCGTTACGGAGGGTCTCCAACCGACCGGGGCCCTCCGCCATCTCCACCTCATTGCAGTCATTCAGGAGGTTCATGAAAAGAGTGAAGTACCTGAAAAAAATTTTAGTAATTTTACAATTTGTAATTTTTTCTTATATATACATATTCTACTTCCAAAAAAATTAAATTATTAACATTTGAGTAAGTCGAACGCCCAATATCAAAATCAGTATAAATTTTATGTACAAAATATAATTATTTATTTATTCACAAAAAATATGTATTATTATATGTCTATGTGTATTAAAGTTATAGTTTAAACTAAGTACGTGGCGCCATCTAGTGGTAATAATTAGTACTAAACTTATTCTATGAATGTGTTGAACTAATAATAAAAGACAGTCTGTTGAAGCTACTCTCTGGTTTTATTAATATGAATAATTTAAACACGATAAATGTATAAAATTATAAATTATAATATATAAAAGAGGTGCAAAGGTACTACATATTCCTAATGGATTTTTTACTGTAGGACTGTGTCAGGACAATTAATTAAAACCACAATGCCGGCTTCATCTAGTTTTTTACATATAATTTGATGTGTAAAAGTGCCGTTTATGGCCTATTTTCAAAAATAAATTGATTGTTTCATTGTTTCAAAAAAACAAAGAAAAGCTTAACCAACTAACACATAAAATAGTACTAGACGTTTATTACATTTCTCAAATCCAACTAGACTTACTTAAGGAACAGTTGACTCTTGGCTTCCATGAGATCCCCTCGATCCGACTCCTCAGGCTGCAGAGGGAGCCCCTTCAGCAGCGAGGCTACTGCCTCCATGCAAGCCTGGTCCAGCTCTCTGCAGCAGACCAGGTATCTGTGTGTCAGGGAGACGGGGTTTTGGATACGGAGCATAGATGGCGTTAGTAGTAATTATTCAATCAACCTATAAGTGCCCACTGCTGAGCAAAGGTCTCTTCTCACACGGAGAAGGTTTGCATTAATCACCACGCTTCATCAAGCAGACCCATTGGGAATTTCAAACTTAGAGTTGGAAATTAAGTATAAGTCCAGCTATCCTTTTGATTATCTTCACCGTATGTCAGTGGTAAATTCATACCCAATTGACTTCATTGAGTCCCGTTTTATGGATGAAAATTTTTCAGTGCGGGAGAGCCATATGTTTTAGCATGAATGGCTTCACAGAAAACCGGCGTGAAACAACCACAGCGTTGTTTCGCCGTGTGAGTGAGGTTATCGGAGGCCCCATCGTCGCCCCCGCCTCCAGTCACAAAAGCTCCAAATTCCTAATCGCCAAAAGGTCGGCAACGCACTCGTAGATTTTCCTGTTGTTGCGGGTGTCCATGGGCGGCGCTAATTGCTTACCATCAGGTAATCCATTTGCTCGTTTGCCGACCTATCTGTCACATAAAAAAAATACTTACCTAGTGATGGAAGAAGCGTCAGCTCTAAGAGGGGGAGCGATCTGATGACTGGTACCGAGCACCCAGTCCGTTACGTATTCCACCATTTTGTTGCGGAACTTCATTTCCTGGGGGGGATAAAACATAATTTTATAGATGTAAAACCTATCCATTAGAAAAGACAGATTAAATTCAAACTTGGCTCAAACCAAACCACATGACATGCATATATACAAAAATTACAGTATCCATTAGTACTGGGTACTGAAGCGGCCTTATCGCGAAGATATCTAGAAGCGATCTCTACCAGACAACCTTTAGGTGGACGGAGTATTGTAGTAGTAGGTAGAAATAATTTTGCTTTATTAATAAAAAAAAAACAAATGAGTATAGAAACAATAGTACGATCACGTGTTTAAATATAGGTCACTATCGGCCACCAGTCGTACTATATACCTAGATTTTGTTTAAAAGGTACGGCTCGACCGTAGTGAAACCACGGCCTTACAGTAAACCAGCGTGAAATCACTATAGCCTTGTTTTGCCGCGTAAATGAGGCCCAATGACCACAGATCGAAACCCTCTAATGCTCAAACAGCGCAAAAAGTTGACATCAAACTTATCTCTCTATCTGGTATTGCTACTGTAGCGACATCTATCGCACAAACATAACAACAGCACCAATCACGTGCAAGATTCTACATCGCGCAAGTGAAGTTTACGCGCTAAATAGTACAACAGAAAAATCCCGACAACAACTGTCGGGCAGTAGCCCACCAGGCAAGAGCACGTCGTCTGGTCGGAGAACCCTCCCTTTTCAATCGAGGATGAGGAACTTTCCACCCTGTTCCTCATACCTCTAAACTACCAATAAGCGCTAGTTGTTTACCATCAAGTGATCTTTTTACTCGTTTTCAAATAAAAACTTTATCGTAAGTAATAAAAATAATCAAAGTTAGTAATCTTTCTAAGATTCAAACAACTCACCTGTCTAAAAGCGAGATCGTCTCTCCTTCTCATCATGGCTTCGACCACTTGGCAGAGCTTCGTCTTAATATGGACTGACAGAACCGTCATGTCCAAATGTCTCACGTATCTGGAACAAGTGGTTTAGAATGTGGCCAAAGTAAGCTAAACAGAGAGATATTGAATAACTAGCGACACGCCCCGGCTTCGAACGGTAGCAATGTTGGTACAAAATTGCTCTACAATTTTTGTTTTATTTTTTTTTATGTAATTGGTCGGCAAACGAGCAGACGGATTACCTGATGGTAAGCAATCAGCGCCGCCCATGGACACCCGCAATGGAGGATTTACGAGTGCGTTGCCGACCTTTTAGGGATTAGGGATTTGGAGATTTAGGGATTGAGGAGGGATTGGGGGCGGGGAAGGATTGGGCCTCCGGTAACCTCACTCACACGGCGAAACACAACGCTGTGGTTGTTTCACGCCGGTCTACTGTGAGGCCGTGGTATCACTCCGGTCGAGCCGACCCATTCGTGCCGAAGCATGGCTCTCCCACACTTAAGCATGGATATTACTTAACATATAAGCCTACCTTCTCGTTCTTTCTATTTATTAAAAAACCGCATTAAAATCTGTTCTGTCGGACGGACAGAATTACTATGTTGTGATGTCTAGTTTCGGCCAGAGGTTTCACCAAATATTCCAGATTGTCTCTGTGCCAAATTTCATTCAGATCCGTTCAGTAGTTGTAACCCCCAAAACGTCAAATGGAAATTAAGAGCCCCGTTGCTCCCCGAAACTAAACGAGCATACTCGAAAAAAATATAAAAACATTTGTGTTAAAAAAAATTACTAGACTCAGGATTCGAACGCTTACCTGACAATAGACAGCATTAACGTCTCGATAGATGTCGTACTAAGATGTTCATTCGGTTGCCCGCTCTTCTTAATATCCAATATACTTTTCATTATAAATATTGTATGCTCCACAAATTGCGTGTTTATATCGGTTAACATTACCTGTTAAATACGAAAATAATAAAACATTATATATAACTGGGAATTAAAAATTGCATAAAAACTCTGAAGTCTAAAAAAAACTGATTAAAATTATCACAGTAGTATTGGTTATTATATTTATTCAAAATAAAAAGCGTGTGTGTTTTTCAGCTATGCCAAGTAAGAACATTATTTTTACTAAGGCGATTCCAATAAAGACTACTATTTTTATTATTTAGTAATGGGCAGGCATTTAATCGTGTTCTCGCCTGGAAGTAAGCGATGTTGCGACCTACGATGGAGCACTGTCCATAAGCAAACTATTCACTTAGATTTAAACATCAGATAGCGCTAGTGGGAATCTGCCATCTTCTTGTCCAATAGTAAACTACGTTTAAATATTGACAACAACTCTGATTGGACAATCTGATTAGCTTAGATTAGCGCCATCTAGCGAGCAAAAATAGTAAATCTGATAATCTTATATTAGCGCCATCTAGTGAGCGACATTAGTAACTTCAAATAGCAAAGCGAAACTTCATTTGAATAACGAATGTGCTTTGACATTTCTAAGGTAAAATTAACAATGTAGGATAAAGTTTTACAATACAAAATGAACCTTAACATAAGGACATACCTGCTGTTGTTGATCGAAGAACTTGTCAATGATGGCTTTGATCTGATCGAACAGTATTGGATAGAGAGCAGGGGACATCTCATGCCCGACCAACTCTTTGACGTGGGTCTGTATTTGTTGACCAAAGCGCTCGTTACTGCATAGCAGGAGGCGAAGTAATTGTCCTATGAATCTGTTGAGAAAATATCATTATTATAATGTAAGTCTTTACCAATCACGGGACCACAGGGTCCCGGTCAGTTGAGGGGCTGAAGCCAACTGCGCAGAGGCCCTTTAGACAACTTTGATCGAAATGAAATGGGACAGAAACCGGCGACTTTTCCTGTGTGTATGCACTATGGAAATGCACCCAAGGACAGTCCCCGGTTAGTGTAGGACTATTGTTGATAATGGAAACAAGGGATAAGGCTATGGTGGATGCTATAGTCTGGTATGATGGGTTATGGAAGGACTAGGGCACCTGCCGAAACAACGTAATAAATACACGTAAAAATGGCAGGTGGAGACTCGCAAACTCGCCGACCGGGTCCCCGGGAATGGTTGCAAGTAATAGCAACAGAGTGACAATGGCAAATAGTCGCTTTATTATTATTATTTTGATCTTACATTCACGGAATCACAGGATTCTGGATTCTGGAATCTGGAATTCTACACTTTTGGAACGCAAACGAGGAACCAAAGAAAAAGGAGAAGCCAATCCAAATCTCAAATCTTGTATTAATATATCTCAAATATTTTCTTTTTATATCGAAGAGATTGTTTACATTTAGTTAATTACCTAAATCGACAGACCATATTATTTAACTAGATTACTTAAGTATTTTCAATTTAACAATTCTGAAAATGGAACTTACTGAGTAACAGGACAGTATTGGACTTCCTGGGAACTGTTGGCTAGAACGTTGTACTTTCTTGAATCCGCTGAAAGTGATAAAAATATAACATAAGATATCTACACTGTATGAGCTGTCGTTAACACGTGAACTAATGGGAATGAGGAATTGTTTGGTTTGATCCCCGCCGCATCTTTTCGCCATCGTTCCAAGCGAAAACTTTTTCATCCCCATCTCATAGATAGTTGGCAGTCAACAACTGTGCGATTCACCCGTAACTTTCTGCCCCGCACAGCAAAACTTTGGAACGATTTTCCTGCGGCGGTATTCCCGAACCGATACGACCTTCAAACCTTCAAGAAACGAGCGTACTCCTTCTTAAAAGGCCGGCAACGCACTTGTAACTCCTCTGTTGTTGCAGATGTCCATGGGCGGCGCTGATTGCTTACCATCAGGTGATCCGTATGCTAGTTTGCCTCCTATTCCATAAAAAAATGGGTCGGCTCGACCGGAGTCGGAGTGATACCATGACCTCACAGAAAACCGGCGTGTAACAACCACAGCGTTGTGTTTCGCCGTGTGAGTGAGGTTACCGGGTTACCGAAGACCCAATCCTTGCAAGGCGCAACCCGAATTTTAGACTTTATAATACTATCATTTACTTCAATTTTTATCATCATTTTGACTACACGGTTGGCGCAACGGCTAGGCGAGCTGTCGCGCAACGATTCCCAAATTGTTGTTCCGGGTCTGGGTGTCATGTGTATTTGAAATTGTATATTTGTCCATCCACGACACAGGACAAAAAGCTAGGACGGGACAAAAAAAAAGTTGTTCTACGAACTATTCCCGACCGTATACTCCAGCAATAAAGTTGAATATTTCTTGAGAAACTTTAGTATACGTTGACATGCGGCTCCACTTACCATGTCCGTGTAAATGTGACCAGGATGTTGTAGGTCTACGCTGTAAGCAGACCCCGCCCAGAGCGCAGAGAAACGATGTTATATTCGCCCACTCTTGGATTTGCATCTGTTTATATATAAAACAAATGTTAAGAGACATTTTTTTGGTATGAGATAGGTCAGTAGACGAGCTAACAGATTACCTGATGGTAAGCAATCAGCGCCGCCCATGGACACTCGTTATACCAAAGGAGTAACCATAAGTGCGTTGCTGGCCTCTTGTGAGTTATGAGGGATTAAGGTATAGGGGATTCGAGGATTGAGGAAGGGGAGAAGGATGTGGGCCTCCGGTAACCTCAATCACACTGCGAAACACAACTTAAGTGTTGTTAGTATTGTGAAACGCACTTGTAGTAACTCCTTTCGTATTACACTCGTGTAATCGCTTCAGCACGAATGGGTTGGCTCGACCGAAGTTACACCACAGCCTCACAGAAAACTGGCGTGAAACAACCACAGGGTTGAGATTCGCTGTGTGAATGAGGTTACCAGAGACACAATCCCTTCCCCTCCCCAATCTTTAAATATCTGAAACCTTAATCCATAAAAGATCGACAACGCGCTCGTAACTCCTCCATTGTTACGGGTGTCCATGGGCGGCTCTGATTGCTTACCATCAGGTAATCCGTCTGTTCGTTTGCCGACCAACATCATCCAAACTAATATCCGAAAGAAACTCTGTCTGACTGTCTGTGTGTCTGTCTTTTCTTCACGCCGAAAGTACTGGACCGATTTCTGTGATATTTGGTACAGACATAGTTTGGAACTCGTAAAAAAGGACATAGGATAGTTTTTATACCAAAAATCTGCAGGAAGTCACTATTCCACGCGAATTAAAACGCGAGCAAATGATTTATGATTTTATGACTGACTTACCTCAAAGTCATGTTCACTGCTGGTATGGTGGGAAACGCGTCGTTTAGCGACGGCTCTATGTATAGCTTCCATTTGACAGTCATCCACTTTATCTCCCTGTCCTTTGGGGTACTTCTGGAGCAACTTGCAGAGGGAATCCCTGGGAAAGAGAATGAGACAACCATTTGTTTATTAATGTAGAATAGATCTATCTTATAATATAAAAATAAATCGCAAAATATGTTGGTTAGTGCATAACTCAATAACGCCTGGACCAATTTTGCCATTTTTTTATGGTATCTATACTCGGAATTTTAATTAGATTCCAGATTTGACAATTTCAGTGTTGCAACGTTATAAAAAGTACCAAATTTAATACGATACGATTTAGTTTAGACAATTAATTAAAGATCTGATAGTTTTCTTTTATAATTGTGTGTGAAATTAATAAAAAAATGTGATCTATTATGGTAACAATTTTTTTTATAAATTGGCGCCGTCATCGCTGTCACTATCGCTGTTACTTTCTGTAACCTTTATTATGAATTGTGTCTGTGATATTTATTGTCAATATCTGGAATCGAATTAAAATTCTGACTATAGGTACTACCACTTCGAAAATGTTTTACATACCAACATCGGAATGTTTCCTCCCAAACAGGCTGGACCCCGTTGACGCAATGTTCAATCTTACGGAGCAACGCCATTATGCGCTTCTGTAGTGCAGCCGAGCCTGAGTTAATAATGTGTACAAATTAAAATTAATTTCCTACAGTTCTTGTTTATGAAATTAAACAAAACTGACCTTTATAATTTATTAATTTATTTTAAATTAATTCACAACCAGAATTGTGCATAAGGCGGACTTAATGCAATGAGAATTCTCTTCCAGTCTACCTTTAGGTAATGTAGAGACAATCCAGTGGTTTTCGATAATTGGTTATATATTTTGATGGAGCTAATTAAAAGAAAGTTTGAATTAAAAATAATAATACTTACTGTGTATATTTTTGTAATAACAACCTCTACCCATATCCTGGCTGGCCGCTTGTAAGTTAAAAGTACCAAATGATTATCGAGACATCTTTCGAGAAAATACTTGTCCACAATAAACCCCATATCTATCTTATATTTTTATGAGACACAATAGAAAATACAGATTTCTTCCCAATCCTTAAAGCCCTTATCCCTATCTCTTTATTTATTTTGTAAAATTATTACATTTGTTCTAATTATTTAATTTTAATTGTTAATTTCTTATGGGTGACTGCTTCGTCCGCGAGTCACTCAAGGGGCCAGTAGACTGAATGTTTCGGCGATACCCGCCCCTCCGACACATGGGTTATTGGAGGAACACCGGGTTGGTTTTTAGTCAGTAAGAGTCTGACAGTACCCTTCGCCCTTACCCGAGGGCGGTGGGTCTCCATGAGGATTTTCCAACCCGACACCAAAAAAAAAAGGGCCAGTAGACTACCAGCGCAAGGCCCTGTCTTTCACATGCCGAACTGGTCCCATTTCACGGGAGACTTGGGACATGAACATCCATTAATATTTCCAAACAGAATGTCTTAACTATCTGTAAGGACATGCCACTTATTTTTTTAGCGTGAAATAAAATATTGTCTTTCTTTCTTTCCTAAAAGGCCGGCAACGCACTCGTAACTCCTTCGGTGTTGCGGTTATTCATGGGCGACGCTAATTGCTTACCATCAGATAATCCATAAGCTCGTTCGCCGAACTGCCATATAAAAAATAAATAAATATCAACAACTTACCAGTTGTCAAAACAGTGGATGTATGAGCAATTTCCTGGAAAACCGCGTAGTTGGGCAAGAGGCACTGGGTAGTGATCTCGTCGGATCCACACCTAATGTCGGCTTCCTGGCATAGCAGGGCGAAGCACGACATCGCTACCAGTACCACGTCAGTGTCTATAGACCATAGGCACATGAAGAACACTACCTGTTGAGGGTAAGGGAGATTTAGTTGTCATTTTGCGCAAGTTTTTTGTGTTTGCGCAGGTTTGCGCTAATTTTGCGCAAGTATCGTAGAGTTGTTGTTTGGTTTGAGGGGTACGTTAAGCACTGCCTTTATTTTTAGGTTAATAAATTGACGTCCAATATTGAAGTTATGTAAATAAATTAAATAACAGTAAGAGTTTCTATCATTTATAACACAATTTGAATTTATAATAGTAAAGACTTTGTTTTGAATAAAAGTTGTAAAAATTTAACTTTAACGTAGTAATTACTACGAGAGTAGGTATTTTCAATTTCCACAAAAGAAATATCCATACGTAATAAAAAAATTCAACAAAATAAGAGTAATTAAATGTAATTATACTCTCATTTCAATCAAAATTTTGTGCGATTTTCAGCAGATGCACTCTTAAGTTAAAGTTTCCTATCAAGTTAAGCAACACATACCAAGGTATGGAAAAAGATGGGTTAGCGCACTGACCTCCAATTTAATATGCGCCTGTTTTGAAATTGGTATCTGGGATCCCACGTTGGCGTACTCCTTGTGTTTGGCGAGGAACTCATTGCGACACGTCAATATATCCCTGAGCCATCTCAGGACCTCGCGGTAATTGCATATCTGTCGCTGGATCAGTTTTTGGCTTATATTGTATAGGACTTGAGAGCTAGAAGAAAATACTCGAGTTATCATCATCATCAGCTAATGAGTGCCTACTCTTGAGAAAAGGCCTCTTCTCACACGGAGAAGGTGAGTATTACTACGCTAGCTCAAGGCGGATTGGCGATTTTAAAATATTAGAAATTATAAATCCAGATTTCCTCCCGATGCTTCCTTCACCGTATGTCAGTGGTGTCTAAATAATCATAGAACGCACATATATATGCCTCCGGGCCATCGTAGATTTGCGTTATTTTTTTTAACGATTTAATAAATATTAGTGTACTATAATTCAATGTCTATGTACTGAATAGAAAATTGCGTTTGAGTGGCGCCCTGGATGGTTTAGATTCACAAATCAGCCCGGCAGATGGCGCTGATTGCTTTAAAAAGCATGTGATCTCGGAAACGGCCGTAACGATTTCGCTGAAATTTGATAGTTTAATTACCTTATATCCCAAAAAGTGTTCAAGGGAGCTTCTGGATTCCACATATGCACCCTATCAGGTCGATGGAGAGCCAGTATGGCGTCCATAGCAGCTTGAGAGATCTCCCCCATACCAGTTTGGTGCACCAAAGACACGAGGCCATTCATGAGCTCGGTCGTCGAAGATTGGATTTCTATGCTTGAACGACCAGGATTCTGTAGGAAAAAAGGGGAGATTGATCAGTATAATTGCTTATTTATTTATTTACAATTTTCTCCTGTGTCGTAACATACAAACATACAAATTCACATACACATCACACAAAGAATTGTTCCGTGCGGGAATCGATCCCGCGTGACATTGCGCGGCAGCCAGATGTCCGGCCACCGCACTAACAGACCAGTACAGAATGAACTTGCACGGTTCTCTCACATAATGTTATTTTTACATTTTTTGGACTTAAAAAGAGACTGACCTCTGAGTTTGTTTCGGCATTTCTTCTCAGAGTAGTCAGACAGGAAATGCCGGCTTCATCTAGTTTTTCACATATAAATTGACGTGGAATAGTGCCGTTTTATGGCCTATTTGCAAAAATAAATTCATTGTTTTGTTTCATTGGCATTAATGAGGCTGATAGATCAGATTGATGGCCAGACCAGTGTGAAAAAACTACCACAGCGTTATGTTTCGCCATGTAAGTGAGGTTACCGGATGCCTAATCCTTCCCCTTATCCTCAATCACCAGATCCTCTTTCCTTGAACCCCAATAACCCACAAAAGGCCGGCAACGCACTTGTAGTAACTCTTTTAGTATTAGGAGTGTCCATGATGGCGTTGATTGCTTCATCATCATCATCATCATCAGCCAGTGTCCACTGCTGAGCAAAGGCCTCTTCTTACACGGAGCAAGTTTGAGCATTACCACCACGCTTGCTCAATGCGGATTGGCGATTTCAAACTTATAATTAGAAATTAAAGTCCAGGTTTCCTCACGATGTTGACCTTCACCGTATGTCAGTGGTGTCTAAATAATCATAGAAAGTAGGTACATATAACTGGGAAAAAGTCACATTGGTACTTGCCAGGTTTCGAAACCTCGTGCGTGAGAAGCGAGTGCCTTAACCTCGAGGCTACCACGAACTTTTTGATTTGTTGATTGTCTACATCAGGTAATTCGACCTATACTATAAAAATACATATTTTGATACTTACACTAAGCCACAGCATTGGATCAGCGTGTATTAACTTGACTATACACAGAAGTAGATGTCTATACGCGGGCATTTCTTCACTCTTATTGAATTTCGACTGAACTTCTTTCGATTTCAGGGATAGCGATATCATTCTGAGAGGCGTGTGGACCACGTAGCCCTGTGGAGAGAGATAGAGGTAGTGTGTGAAAGAGATAGGTAATGTTTAGACAGTTTTTTTTTCCATATAAATCTAGAATACGGTAGTTTCCAACTAGTCAAATTCAATACTTTTATCCAAATGTCAAAACTATACTTTTCTATGGAATTTGTATGAAAAACTGAGGTATGACGTCATAGTATTTTTGCGTCAAATAGCTTACTTATTTCTTAATAATTAGCAACAAAATATCTAAAACTCACACCCGGTTTCCGAAAGGCCGATCAATGTTAAAATCAATTTAATCTCTTGTCAAGTCATCTGATTGGTTGACTGAATTATCAACAACCAATCAGATGACTTGACAAGAGAATTAACAGGAGATTACTTAATTTTAGGGTTGACAAGCCTTTCAGAAACCCGGTGTTAGTGTATCGATCGATCGATGAATAAAATTATAGTTATTTTTCAATATTTTATTGTATTGAAATGTCGAACTCTTTTTTTTGACCTAGGAAACTACGCGATTGTTTTAGAACCATTTGATAGGATTATTTCTGAACTCATCAAAACATGGCTCCTAGTGAAAATCAGCGCCATGGACTTCTTTAATGCCATCTTGCAAAAGACTACAGCATTTTACTGACCACTGACCATTTTGCACTGTGATGACTTTTATTGGTTACATTGTTTTTTTTTTACTATTTTTTAAATAATATCTAACACCTAATTAAATAATAAGTGTGGGAGAGCCATGCTTCGGCACGAATGGGTCGGCTCGACCGGAGTGATACCACGGCCTCACAGAAAACCGACGTGAAACAACCACAACGTTGTGTTTCGCCGTGTGAGTGAGGTTACCGGAGGCCCAATCCTTCCCCTACCCCAATCCCTTCCCAGTCCCAAAATCCCCAAAATCCCAATCCTAAGGTCGGCAACGCACTCGTAACTCCTTCTTTGTTGCGGGTGTCCATGGGCGACGCCGATTGCGTACCATCAGGTAGGACGGTCGGACGTCCTATCACATAAAAAAAATCTTTATAAATTATTCGTTTATTACCTGAGTGGCCTTGTTGGAGGTATCAGTGAACATAGCGCGGAGTTCTGCGGCTCGCGGGTACAGCAGCTCTATTTGGGGCCACCAGGGAAGGCGTGGCTGCTTTATAATCCTGTAAGTTTATATTATTCAATGTAAGAGAGCCGTGGCATGATGCCACGAGAATAATAATTATAATACAGTTATAACAGTTAAAGAATATTCACAGGCCCCGATGTCCCGTGCTTTTTGTCAAAGAGAAGAAGTAAAAGGTGTCCATAATTTATTAGGAAATTGGTGAAGAATTCCCAGAGCGACGTTTGTTACAGTATACATAAGTCGTAACTAAGGGCTCCGGTTTAGGTCGAAAATAGTCGGGCATCCTCGTTATAAAGTATTGTAAATATGCCAAAATAAATACACGAACATTTTATAATTATTATTATATAAAAACTTACCTTAATAAAGAATTGATGATGACATAATGATAGGAAATATGCGTGGTCAAATTGAGACACACTTTAAGCGCATCGTTGTTATGCGGCATTATCCGGAATAGGGATACAAAACAGTCTGTCATGAGGTCGATTTCCGAGTACCCGGATACCAAGTTGCCCCGGATATATGACTTAGCTGGATTGAATAGAAGTGACTGAAAGAGAAAAATCAAAAAGGTTTTAGTATATTTTACTTTTTTATTTAAATTGTCGATTGAAAAACAAAATTGTTTTCGATATTTGAAAATATTTTTCATCATCATTGTCATCAGCCTATAAGTGCCCACTGCTGAGCAAAGGCCTCTTCTCACACGGAGAAGGTTAGAGCATTAATCACCACACTTGCTCAATGCGGGTTGGCGATTTCAAACTTAAAATTAGAAATTATAAGTCCAGGTTTTCTCACGATGTTTACCTTCACCGTATGTCAGTGGTGTCTAAATAATCATAGGAAGTATATATAACTCGGAAAAAGTCACATTGGTACTTGCCAGGTTTTGAACCCACACTCTCATGCATGAGAAGCGGGCTCCTTAACCTCCGGACCACCACGACACTAAACTTTTTATTAGTATCTAATGTGGGTAAAAAAAAATCTGTGACATCTTTAAAGTCTCAATTATTAGTAAATGCTTAAATTATTGGCCTTTTTCTTAGGGTTTAATCTTCAAATGCTCTCCCGACCGCGATAACGCGAGAGGGAGTGTCAGACTCTTACTGACTAAAAACCACCTCCATCCTTCTCCTGCTCCAGACCCTTTTTCTGAACTTTTTTTTTATCGCCCCACATTTAGATTATCTCCTGTGTCGTTGGTACGGTTACAAACATACAATTTCACATACACATGACACCCAGACCAGGAACAACAATTTATGGATCACACAAAGTGTTGTTTCGTGCGGGAATCGAACCCGCGACACGTTGCACGGCAGCCAGTTGTCCAGCCACCGCACGTCGGTTTATACAATCGCATACAATATCAGAAAGGCAACTTTAAGACATTTTTAATAAGGAAAATTCTTACCTTGAGATCATTAATGACAGACTTGACGAGTTTAAAGGTAACATTCCCAGAATCAGCTATATTGAGATACGTAGACGCCTTGCATAACTTGACGCAAGTCACGACCGCAGCTTCAGTCATCTGTTTCGAATTGTTCGATGGACCTGTATAAGTTGTATTAATTTCAAAATGGATTCTGCGATTATTGACCCCTTTTTTGGAGGTCTTTTGACCCCATACGTTTATTGATTGTACGGTGTACCTGATTGGACGAGTTTCGGTAAAAAGGTACGTTTTGCTCGAGACTTGGCTGGGGGCACTGCCGTGCCTCCAGATTCATAGGGACACGATTTTAAAAATAGTTTGTTTTATTATATGCATATATACAGTGTGTAGCTCAACAAATATTTAGCTATAAGTACGTCAAAAATGTTTAATTTTTATGAAAACAAAGAATAAGTGTGGGTGAGCCATGCTTCGGCACGAATGGGTCGGCTCGACCGAAGTGATACCACGGCTTCACAGAAAACCGGCGTGAAACAACCAAAGAGTTGTGTTTCGCCGTGTGAGTGAGGTTACCGGAGGCCCAATCCTTCCCGTACCCCAATCCGTTCCCTTTCCCAAATCTCTAAATCCCTAATCCCCAAAAGGTCGGCAACGCACTCGTAACTCCTCCGTCGTTGCACATTTTTCTATGTATGTTATGTTCATGGACACCCGTCCATGGGCGGCGCTGATTGCTTACCATCAGGTAATCCTCTTGCTCGTTTGCCGACCTATCACATAGAAAAATGTCCTTCTACTATTACTCCTCAACATTGAAAATAACGACTTTCTGTGTAAATTAATTGGAAAAAGAAGTCGCCCGCACTAAATTTCACAGAAATCGGTTCAGTAGTTTAGGGGTGAAGAAAAGACAGACAGACAGAGTTACTTTCGCAGTTATAATATTAGTTTGGATTAAATTTTGTATGTCTAATGGTAGTTACATTACAAAAAAAATATTTCCCCTACCTTTTAAGTAGTAATCTATCAAAATTATAGTAGACTAGCTATTCGCGCGCGGTTTCACCCGCTCCACCGACTGAGCCAGGGGTTGGTCAAACAGTACTTGTACCTCGGATCCTAATGATTCCAAATGATTTGCCTTTACATTTTAAAAGAGTCCAATTCCCAATTAAATTATCTTTTGCCGTACCGATAAATAAATCATAGGGGCAAACATTTAAATATGTAGGACTAGCTACGCTCGCGTGGTTTCACTCGCTGCTCGGCTCCATTTGATCGTAGTTTGATGTTTTATAGCCTATAGCACTAAGGAACATTGTAGCTATCTATCAGTGAAAGAATTTTGGCAATCCGACCAGCGGTTCCAAAGATTACCCCCTACATTGTACAAACATACAAATTTTACCTCTTTATAATATTAGTATAAGAATACTCACTAAGCCCTCGTTTGACACAATCTATAAACAACTTTTTCTTCGTATGTCGCGGACTGCACGGCGCACCGCTATCCGCATTTACTATTTCTTCCAGAACTTTCTGTTAAGAGAGAGAAACAACATTTTTTTAGAACAAATCGAAAAATATTAATGCTTATTAAAGTCAAAGTCAAAAAAATTATTTATTTCAATTAGACCCTTACAGGCACATTTCAACGTTTTTTTTTATGTAAATGATCGGCAAACGAGTAGACGGATTACCTGATGGTAAGCAATCAGCGCCGCCCATGGACACTCGCAACGGAGTAATTACGAGTGCGTTGCCGACCTTTTAGGGATTAGGGATTTGGAGATTTAGGGGATTGAGGAGGGATTGGGGGAGGGCAAGGATTGGGCCTCCGGTAACCTCACTCACACGGTGAAACACAACGCTGTGGTTATTTCACGCCGGTTTTCTGTGAGGCCGTGGTATCACTCCGGTCGACGTCAAACAAAATTTAAAGATATAATGTCAGTCTGTCGGTCAGTCCTCTTAGTGAAGCTATTATTACTATATTGTGTATTGCTATTATATATTTTATATGCTATATTGTGACTCGAACAGAATATAGTTGAAAAAGAATTACTTTTTTATAATCTATATTGTTTTTAAGGGATACAGGATAAAAGCGAGTCTTCAAAGATATGAATGAAAACCCAATAACGCAAAAAGTGTGGGAGATCCATGATTCGGCACGAATGGGTCGGCTCGACCGGAGTGATACCACGGCCTCACAGAAAACCGGCGTGAAACAACCACGGCGTTGTATTGCGCCGCGTGAGTGTGGTTACTGGAGGCCCAATCCTTCCCCTCCCCCAATCCATAAATCTCCAAATCGCTAATCCCCAAAAGGCCTCACAGAAAATCGGCGATATGCAACCACAGCGTTGTATTTTGCCGTGTGAGTTAGGTTACCGGATGCCTAATTATTCCCCTCCTCCAATCCCTTAATCACCAAATCTCTAATCTCCAAAAGGTCCACAACGCATTTGTAAATCCCTTGTTGTAGCGGATGTCCATGGGCGGCGCTGATTGCTTACCATCAGCTTGTCTACCGTCCCACTATTATAATATTATACCCCTAAATTAACATTTGTTTGGTATTCATTACTTTTCACCATATCCCATATATAAATCAAACTAATAATATAGAAAAACAAATCAAACACTTGTTTATTCAAAAATGAACTTTATATTCAATACTCACAGGGTTCAAAAGTAGAAGCATGATCTGTAGCGGCCACACTGTAACCCTGGATTTCTTGTTATCCGAAAAACTGTCTTGTAAAAGGTCAAATAATAAATCGCAACATTTGCTCAACTCATCGTTAGGCCGACATTGGTTTTCTGCGAATTCCTGTAAAAAAAAAAGAAAAAAACTAAATATAAAAACAACAATATAATAAAAAATACATAAAAACAAAAAAGGCAAATCTCGAGACAACTTTGACTGTCTCAGGAATCGAACTAAAGGTACTTTTCGAGAGAGCTCGACTAATTTCGAGTCTCGACCAGGGCTTATACTCACCTCGAAAAGTTGCGTGAATTAGCTATATAACATTATCTTGGGTTTCAAGCTAGACTTTATGTCTAAAGATAAAAAGAGTTTGTAAGTAGGAGTGAGGAACAAAGCCTTTATCTGGTAGTCGATTAAAATCATTCATTCATTCAATCATCATTAGACACGTACTTTTTCTTTTTTTTCTAAATCAAATACTTGCGAGAATATATTGATTTGAAATGTCGCCTGACGTCACGGTTTAGTATATTTTATACAGAGCTCCAATACCAAACTTACAGAGAGATTGCTTTTAAATTTTCAACCTTATTCAAATAGCATCAAGTCGCTAAATTACCTGATTATTTTTTCAAATCAAATCAAAATCATTTATTCCAACTAAACCATAAATAGGTACTTTTGAAAAGTCAAAATAGAATAGTAGTCTGTCAGTCTGTTCGTCAGTGAAGCTAGGTGCTCATTCCAAATTGTAGTTTCGAATGGAGAAGAATGAGAAAGAAACTCCATCGTTACTCTTTTTTAAAAAAAAAATATTTGTTTTATAATTCACCAATAATACATTTTTATACATTACTGAGAGAACAATGCAGAGACAAGTTGTTAATAAAAAGGAACAAATGAGGGTCTATCTAATCTATCATTAAAATTTTAATCCTTTGTCGTCTCGAACATGGCGCTCACATATGCGTACTCACAATCCAAAAGAATGCTTCTATTTATACTCATTCAAGGTTTCATTAATTTTGAGAATTTTAATAAATACTGACTGCATAATAGGTCTTTACCTGTGAAATTGCCGTTCTGCAGTACTGGCCATTTCAAATCAAAATAGTTTTTGTTAGGCTAAGGCTAATTAATTTTGTTTTAAAAACATGGGATTATTTTTCCAAAAGTAGTCATTTGTTTATTGATTAGTGTTACATTTTCATCGCATTTCAAATAAAAAAATTCGTTTAAATTTTTTCATGCAAAACGGCAATTTCATAGGTAAAGACCTATTATTTGAGTATTGTCCAGTGGAGCCGAACCAACATGCTGCCAGGCTTTTCACAACATAACATCTCTTTGTAAAATAAACAAAAAAAAAGCCATATTTACCTGTGGATATGTATCCATCCAATTCCAGATAGCTTTCTCGAGGGACGAGGTAAGAACAACGTGTGCGTTCTTCTTTAAAAGCTTGTACTTCTGTATAGATTCTGTTACAACTAGGGTAAGCATTATGTATCATCCTTTATTTATATTCTGTTTTGTAATTTGTTAAGACGTTGATCTAGTGGTCGTTGAGGTTATAAGTGTTTTTATAATAACTATCGTGAGACATACTAAATTAACTAAAAATCGCGGGTTACTCACGTGTACATATTGAGAAAAACTCTACTAGTTTCGAACCACAGAGGGGTTCTTCCTCATGAGCCGCGTCCTAGTCCTAGTCCTCGCGAAACTAGTAGAGCTTTTCTCAATATGTACACGTGAGTAACCCGCGATTTTTAGTTAAGTTATAAGTGCTTTTTTTTTATTTAATAGCACGGCAAACGAGCAGTCGTATTACCTGATGGTAAGCAATCAGCGCCGCCCATGGACACTCGCAACGGAGGAGTTACGAGTGCGTTGCCGACCTTTTAGGGATTAGGGATTTGGAGATTTAGGGATTTAGGAGGGAGTGAGGGAGGGGAAGGATTGAGTTTTCCGATATCAAAGACAACAATATAGTCACACGACGTCGCAGCGCCCACGCTTACGATATTTACTAAAGAATACGTCCCGTTGTGACCTGAATCCACGTGTCATTTACGTAAGTAAGTCGTTATTTCAATAAACACAGAAATACATGAAGGTTGAACAATATTACTGATTTCACTCTCGGAATTGGGTTCGCTCGTTTAGTTTCGCGATATACCGGGATTAATAATCGCGAGCAGTAATACAATCAAAACTCACAGACAAAATACAGAATACATAGAAAACTGTAAATGTTGACAATTTGGAGTAAGTATTCATTTTGTCCACGTTGTCAAACGCTGTGATGTAATTTTTTATCCGACTACGGCAAAGCAAAAGGAGGGTTATGATTTTGACAGGCAATGTATGTATGTATGTAGGCATGTATGTATGTATGTATGTGTGTAGGTATGTATGTATGTATGTTCATCTGTTCCCTCCTAACTTCTAAACTACTTATCAGAATTCGACATATGACACGTTCCATTTACATTTACTTTACCATACCTGCCTTTCAGTATTCTGAAAATCTTGTTTTATACTTTTTCAGCGTCGGTTTTTGTCGTAGTTGGGTTTTAGTTTTTATACTTTTTATTATTGTGTAAAATAACATATTTTTTTTAGTAGAATAACCTATTCTTTCAAGTGTACAATCAAATACACGCGTTATAGACCACTAGACCAACGCCTCAAAAAAATCTAAACAGAAATTACCTGTGAGTAGCCGTATAAGCCTCAATATATCGAGGTTAACATGCTGAATTAATTCTATATCTGTAAAATCGGGGTTTTCTTCTGAGCTAGATGATAGTTCCTGAAAATAGAATACACATATTATATTTAATTATTTAAATACTTTTTGCACAATTTTTGCACAATGGCGGACTTAATTCTTAAGGCATTTTTTACTGGTCTAACCTTAGGGTGATACAGAGACTGGTCATGGTAGGTACAACAGCTATAAGAGCAAGAGGTTATGATTAAAATATAAACTAAAAAATAAAATTTTGGTCAATACAAAAATTTAAGGACCTAATTGATGAAGTGAACAGGGAATCCTCGGGGTGGCGGGTCTAGCGCAATAAAGTGTGGGAGAGCCATGCTTCGGCACGAATGGGTCGGCTCGACCGGAGTGATACCACGGCCTCACAGAAAACCGGCGTGAAATAACCACAGCCTTGTGTTTCGCCGTGTGAGTGAGGTTACCGAGGCCCAATCCTTCCCGTTCCCGGACCCTTCCCCAATCCTTAAATCTCCAAATCCCTAATCCCTAAAAGGTCGGCAACGCACCCGTAACTCCTCCGTTGTGGGTGTCCAGTGTTTGAAGCTACCAGCGTTTGATCAACAGATGACGCTAGTGAGTCACTTTTTCATCCAATAGGGAATTAGATAGTGCTACATTATTGGTCGTTAAATTTTTAACAGCTACTACATATATTAATCTTGCTAAGTTAACGCTATCTGGTGCTTAAACATACCATTAATTTCTATCTTATTGTAGAAAGAGTATTCAATTATTTAAGATAAGGGTATCTCTCATTAATCATATATCATAAACTAATGTGGGCTACCGTTTTTTGCTCAACAGATGGCGCTAGTGTGTTTCATCTTTTCATCCAATAGGGAATTGGCTAGTGTCACAACATTGGACGTTCCATTTTTGACAAACCGACATCATGCTAGTTTAGCGCCACCTAGTTTTTTAAAAACAGTAGCTCCCATTTCTATTATTCTTTCCCTCCCGTGTTATTAATAGTAAATTTTAATTAGAAAAAAGTACAAACCTGTAACCTTGCACTGATCCGGTTGAATACAGCGTTGAAAAAGTTGAGACTGAGCGCGAAAAGCACTTTACTGGCCAGCTGTCGTAACAGCGTATTGTTTACTGTGCTCTCGTTGCGCATGTCCGTGTAATAGTAGATTGAAACTGCAATATTTTGTTTAATGTAAGCTTCTGTGGAAAATATAGAATGGGACAAGCCCGCCAAAACCTCTCAAAACCGCTGCAAATCCTGTAAGCCCGGATCTACAGTAGATACAACCATGAAAACACCGGATTACTGAAGTCCGGCTCGTCCCAGGGACGTTAATGTCTTGGATCCCGCCACGAAATAAATCAGAAGATATTATTTGAGGAGAAGAAAAAACTGATGTGGCAAATTTAGATTTTGAGTATAGTTTTTTTTTAATGAAAGATCGGCAAACGAGCACACGGTTTACCTGATGGTAACCGGAATGCACTCACAATATTTGGTTCAGAATAATGTATGTTTAGGTATATTAGCAACAAATAGGAAAGGAGCCATAATTGGATTCTAAAATTTACTTTAGATCGGCGCTGTATAATTACCACTTCAATGGCATCGTCTACTGAATGTGTTCGTAAGTTCGGCGGCAAAGTATCCATGCGTTTGTACCTCACACTTATTCACAGATCAGTTATTGACACATTGAGCAAAAAATCGGTCGCGACAGAACCTTGCTTCCCTAGATCCGGACGCCGCGATGATTTTAATACCAGAGCTCTCCAAAAAGACCAACATAAAACAACACTTGTGATGCTTCATGCCACTAATTATGTCATTTGAGCGTCTTTAAAAAAAGCCTAAGGGCTTCGTTGATCGCTAACTATCAGGTGATCCGACTGCTGCATTTACCTTCAATACAAAAAACTACTTACATATAAACTGGCAGACTTCCCTCAGCAGTATTTTAACATTCATAGCCTCATCATATTTGGCCGTGTCCTTGGGTTGTGAGCTGAGACATATTTCCAAAGTGTCTAGGACAATCACCAGGCTATCGTGATAGCCTTTTTCTTGTTCGGTTTGGGGACGATTCGAGCCCATTGCTATTGTGGGTTGGTACTGCAACAAAAATTATAAAGTTACAATTAATATAACCATACGTCATGGTGGCCCGGAGCTTATAACTTCTTCTCTTGCATGAGGGTGTGAGTTCGAATCCTGAAAAGTACGTAACTATGCGACTTTTTTCGAGTTATGGAGGTGAAGGAAAAACATTGTAAAGGAAACCTGGACTATTTTTTTTTTTTTTTTCATGTAATAGGTCGGCAAACGGGCAGACACCCGCAACGGAGGAGTTACGAATGCGTTGCCGACCTTTAAGGGATTAGGGATTTGGAGATTAGGGATTTTATTATAAGTTTGAAATATCCATAAGCATGCGGCCTTTGCTCAGCAGTGGGCACTTATTAGCTGATGATGTGAACCTAACCGTGTTTTGATGCAAATGCAACAACCAAACAATTAAACAGGTTTTATTGTTTTATATGATGGGGCAGCGTCGGACGAGAGGACATGGTGGTAAGCAATCGCAGCCACCCTTGGACACCCGTTACGAGTGCACTGAAAGCCTTTTGCGAATTAAGGTTTCGTCTTTTCCAGTGCTACCCAATCTTGAAACCCCAAAAAGCCGGTAGAGCGCTTGTTTAGAGGTATGAGAGAACAGAGTGGAAAGTTCCTAATCCTCCATTGAAAAGGGAAGATCCTCCGATCAGGCGAGATGTTCGTGCCTGGTGGGCTACTGCCCGAGGGTTGTTGTCGGGATATCTGTATCGTTGCTAATTGTGTTGAAAACTCTTATAGCGCGATGTAGAAACTGGCACGTTGTTGTTGTCAATGCTGTGCGATAGATGTCGCTACACTTGTAACTCCACGATGTTCGAGTGATCATAGGCGGCGTCAATTGCTTACCAGCAGTTCGTCTAATCGTTTCCTGATCTATTCCATACAAAAAAGACACCTTTGCAGACTGTATGACTTGACACCAAAACTACAATGATGATAATAAAAAAATGTCATGCTTCGGCACGAATAGGTCGGCTCGACCGAAAACCGAAAACCGGCGTGAAACAACCACAGCGTTGTGTTTCACCGTGTGAGTGAGGTTACCGGAGGCCCAATCCTTCCCCTTCCCTAAATCTCCAAATCACTAATCTCTAAAAGGTCGGCAACACACTCGTAACTCCTCCGTTGCGGGTGTCCATGATTGCTTACCATCAGGTAATCCGTCTGCTCGTTTGCCGACTTATTACATAAAAAAAATTTATACTTATTATAACTTACCAATTCATTTACTCGCTGCAGTATCTTAGTGAGGCCAGATATGACTAGAGAGAAGCGGTGCTTGCTGATCTGAACGAGGCAAGCCTTGCACTGCTCCTCGTTGATTCTGGAGTGCAGGTTCTGAGCACCTGTCTTGTATGGAAGCTGCGGATGAAAATATTAAAAATAGCTTGAATAAAAAGAATAGAATTAGAAATTTCCCAGCCAGAAATGGACAGAATGTCAAGGTCACTCAGCAGTCTACAGAAAAAGTTATGCTGGATGTTTCGTAAATCGAATCTGGAATGAAGGTAATAGGTACATAATTGTTTTTTTTTTAATATTTTTACTGCGGACTAACTGCGGGGGACACCACATTTTCTTACATTATATTAGGTAGGTACATAATTTACAGGAGTTTTGATGTTATTTATCACAACTTCTTATCTTCCCTAGTTTTAATTATAAATAGATATATTAAAAACTATGCATTTCCACCACATATACATATAAACATCACAAAAAATAGATCCTAATAAAATATAAAAAATAAACTTGTTTTGGTTGTGAAAATCTGTTGCTGTCTTTGCCAATCTTGAAAGCAAAAAAAAAATTTTTGTCAGATATTCATAGTCTAAGTCACTGTAATAGAGTTCAAATTAGAATATCAAATTGATCTGCTTAGTTCTAATTTGAATCTTACTAGAATTGAACAGAGTTCAGTATTGCCAGATTGTTAATTGGTAATAAATAAATATTTAGGTACCCACATTAAGCTATGACTCTAAAAATACACAATATAACTGCTAGCTTTGTTGCATTACATTTTTTTTAGAAGAAATAAATCAGTTTTATTATATTTATTTACTTGTTTTATGTAGTATAAAAAAAGAATTATGAATTTAATAAAAATATTTTTTGGTAATTTTTTTTTTAATTTAAAACCCACAAGTTATTCGTAAATGAACAGCCTAGTCGGGAGTTTAGTGTAATTAAAATTGAATTACTTGGAAAAAGTTTTTGTAAGGAATAAATTAAATTAGGACTAGTAGTACCTATGTATAGAGAGAAGAAAGGTAAGTAAAAATTTAATTTTATGTCGCTACTTAAGACGGAAATAGTTACACCGGGTAGATCCAAAACGATAATCCAAAAAGAAAAAAGAAAATAATCATTAAAAAATTGTAACAAACACAAATACAAAAAATACTATTTAAAAATTAGAACTCCAATAATTCTACGCATTTTACTAGCAATTTACATAAAATGTTTAAGTATTTTTACCAAAAATATATTTCTGTGTGTACTTTTCTACAGAACTCCATATATGGGTGGGTCTTAGAAAATAAATTAAATACTTTAGTCAACACTTACTTGCTCTTCGAAACGGGCAATTAACGAATTCGCCCATTCTCCCGGTTTCTGCGTCCCCATTTTGTGAATAAAAATTGTATAGTTTGTGTAAATAAATTAAAAACAACAATTTATTTTTCGCACTACCATTACAGATCTCCGATTTCTATAAACTACTAAAATGATACCACATTTTGTTTTACTCATTACTACTATTGTTTCCAAATTGGTAAACGTTTTCTCATTACTGTGGCTTGTTGACTTAGTTATATAATAACAGTGATTGTAAAATAATCAAGGAATTGTGAGATTTCTACAAATCATAGCAATAGAACTGATTTCACTGATAAAATAAAAGAAGCACATTTCAACTTCTACTGTTTTGTGTCAATTTTTTCAGCTGAAATACTAGTTACTGTCAAAAAAGTAAATCGATAAATTTTGGCATGCGTTTTGTAAACATCTACGCCGTACTTTATCGATTTTTAAAGTATAAAAATCGTTGTATAGCCAGCTGATTCCCAAATCGCATGCGTGCCTGAAATTCAGGCTACACCTTGTACTTAAGCTAAAGAGGAAAAGATATTTATTGTTTGGTTTTAAGAGAAACAGAAGAAGTTTTTTAATGCGGACGTTATACGATGTAGTTATCTGATAAGGTCATTGCTAATCAGTAGATTTAAGTACCTTATTGAATATTAATACTAGAAAACTTATCATGTTGCCGGCCGGTATAAGAAACATTCTCCAAAATTATTAATAGATAATGGCCAAACCCTTTAAGAATGCAAGAACCTATTCCTAATTACAAATTTTATTCATTGCCTCTTTGCCAAAGTATTCAATGAAATATAGAATTGTCTTATTTTGTAATTTGCATAAGCATGAGTGAAATACAAAATATTTAAAATGAAAGAAACTACGATGTGATTGCAGTTTGATGAAGCTGTATTAAAGGAGCTAAACAATATTTTAATGTGCCTCTGCTGAACCTAATCACCTTTTGTTTTTATTGATTTTTAGGCTTTTAGGCCAGAAATTTTCATTCAAAGTTATAATAAACAACAAATACTGTTTCATTAGACATCTATAAAATATTACCGTTACAACGTATTGCTAAAACCCTGCAACACTTTTCATAGCTGTCAAAATATAACAAACAAACTGTCAGTACCGTATTGACAGGATCAATTTTGACAATATCATCATCAGATTTCCTGTTGTGTCAAATTGTATGGGAAACTTGTAGCTCAATTTGATTGTTGATTTTAAGGAAGAAAGTGAAATAAATTAAATTTATTTATACTCAGCTACTAGCTACTAGCTTGTTATTCAAAATGATGGTGAGTTTTTCCGCAATAACATAGATATTTTAAGGTAAATTAAATGTTTTTAGCACTTTGCCGGGGGGCGTCTCCGCGATCAGAAATTGGTGTATTATTTGTTAATTTCGTCTGATATCTAAAGGTTATGACTCAGTTACTTCAAGATAATAAGTATGCGGTGTACTTCTTTGTAAGAGATGTTTGAAATCTTTTTTAATTTCGCTAATTGGCTTTGTGACGTGGACCTACACTTTTTGTTTTTTTTTTTCGTTCAGATACTGGACGCGACCTTGTTTTTATTGATGTTTTGTGTTCGTGATAATTGAATCTTTCACGCAGTTTAATTTCCATAATTGTGTGAAGGACAAATCAGTTATTTGGTTGTTTTGTTTGAGTACTTTCATGTTTTCAAACTGTCTTATTAGGATACAAGAAGGTTGAAGGTGTTCAACCTCTTTGCTAATATTCAATATAACATGAAACCTCCTTTGTTCCCATTTCAAAAAGTAAGATGCAAAATCATTATTATTTGCTTTTTTAGTAGTAGTAGTTGGTTCTTCAATTCAGGTGAAATATGATTTACCTATTTCAAAAGCCATAGGTTAATAAAGCATTTACTTAAATCATTCCAAGTACAACATCTTTTACAATGTGTCAACAGAATGTCTACATATCTGTCCATATAAGATGCTAGACTGAAGTTAAGCCGGAGGCAAAATTAAACCTGGTTAGCAGTCTAGGCAAGCACCCCAAATAAGCCTTAATTTTGTATGAGATCTCTTCGAATAGGCCTCCTTACCCCTTCCCTAGTAAGCCTTAGAGATAATTCAACATAGGGATTAGGCAGTGTCAGCCTGGAACAGGAGAAGTGATGGGTGGTTTTTAGTCAGTAAGAGCAGACTCTTACTGACTAAAAACCAGTCATCCTCTCTCCCTACCCAAGGATGGAGAGGTTATTAAATGATTTTCCACCCTCAAAAATGGTTCTACTCATTCTAAAATGTAAACAATTTATTAGGAGAATTAATATGCAATTGTGATCTCATTTTCCAGGACTGCGTGGAAGAAACCAGCCATGATCCCCTGTCAGCTCCGGCTGCCCAGACCCCTGGCTCCATAGACCCCAAGCTTGAGAAGAAGAAACCTAATGAGAATGTCAGCCTGGCTGATAACAGTTTGCTGGTAAGATAAAATTTACAATATTAGTTATTGATATATTTAAGTATAAAGTTTTCTAAATATTTAAAAAAACTGGCAACATGTTTAATTTTTTTTATGCATTATATCGGCAAACAAGCAGACGGATTACCTGATGGTAAGCAATCAGCGCCGCCCATGGTCACCCGCAATTTAGGAGTAACGAGTGTGTTGTCGCCCTTATAGGGATTAGGGTTTTGGAGATTTAGGGATTGGGAGGGATCGGGGGAGGGGGAGGATTGTAACCTCAGTTACACGGCGAAACACAACGCTATGGTTGTTTCACATCCATTTTCTGCGAGGACGTGGTATCACTCCGGTCGAACCGACCCATTCGTGCCGTGTTAGTGAGGTTACCGGATGCCTAATCCCTCCCCCTCTCCTATCCCTTCCCAATCCTTAAATATACGCAGCCCTTATCCCCGAAACCCCGCAACGCACGCGTAACTCCTTTATATAAGATCTGGTGTTGCGGGGGGTTCCCATTGGCGGCGCTGATTGCTTACCATCAGGAAATAAATTTGCTCATTTGCCCTATTACATAGTAAACCATATTTCTTTTGTACAGTAATTTTTGTGGGACACTCTAAATTTAATGAATAAGCATCCCGTTTTTTTATGTGAGGGGAAAATCTCCCGCCCAGGGCCGGACGGGAGGGAGTGTCAGACTCTTACTGCCTCATTGCGCTTACCCCGCAACCCCGGCTGAAAATAAGCATCCCGTTGTGGCTCAAAACTAGTAGAACTATTCTCATTTCTTTCACAGGTGGACATATCGGATGCTCTGAGCGAGAAAGAAAAAGTCAAGTTTACGGTGCACACTAAAACAACACTACCGGAGTTCCAGAAGTCTGAGTTTATAGTTGTGCGGCAACATGAGGAGTTTGTGTGGCTGCATGATAGATATGAAGAGAATGAGGAGTATGCTGGTTATATTGTGAGTAATCAAAGTTTTAATATTGTTATTAAATGATGATATCGTCCGATGGTAAAGTCGTAGTGGCCCTGAGGTTAAGGAGCCCACTGGTGCTTGTACTATATATTCCCTTCTTGGGGTTCAAATTACGTCAACATTTTCTTTAACCTGAAAAAATTGTAGTGAAGGAGTATCAGCGTAGACATAAGATACTAATTTGAACTCATTTTTCAAAAGTAACTATCTTGATATATATGTACCAGATTTATTTACAATCTAGTAGAGTTTTTCTTAGTTTATTCAAGTGATTAAGTCTTTGCCTGGTCGTGGTAGCCTGGAGGTTAAGGAGCCCGCTTCTCATGCATGATGGTGTTCGAAACCTAGCAAGTACCAATGTGACTTTTTCCGAGTTATATGTACTTTCTATGATTATTTAGACACCACTGACATATGGTGAAGGTAAACATCGTGAGGAAACCTGGACTTATAATTTCTAATTATAAGTGTGCATTGAGCAAGCATGGTGATTTACGCTCTAACCTTCTCTGTATGAGAAGAGACCTTTGGTCAGCAGTGGACAATCCGATGGGGACAGGGCCGATGTTTAACCAGGATTATGGGGCAAGTGCAATACGGTAGTTTCCAACTAGTCAAATTCAATACTTTTATCCAAATGTCGAAAACGATACTTTTCTATGTAATTTGTATGAAACACTGAGTTATGACGTCATAGTTTTTTTTGGGGCAAATAGTTTAGTTATTTCTTAAAAAATTGCTAAAAATATTTAAAATTCAGTGTAGTCGTAAAAAAAACACCCGCTTCCGAACCGATTTTGAACCAAGTTTATAGAGATACTCGCGCTAAAAATTTTTTTTATATTCATTCACCGTCGCTTCATGCTGTTAACATCAGCTTCATGTAAAATTCTTATTTTTTTCATGTGTATACACGTGAAATCATTTTCCCGGGTTTTATTGACGCCCAGAATAGGACCCTTTTATGTTATGCAAACAGTGATTTATTTATATGTATTTATAGGTATGAATAGTAATTAATAATATATGTTTTGTTACCAGATCCCACCAGCGCCCCCTAGGCCGGACTTCGACGCTTCACGTGAGAAGTTGCAACGTCTCGGTGAGGGAGAAGGAGCCCTCACGCGGGAGGAGTTCCTCAAGATGAAGGAGGAGTTGGAGGAGTTGGTATTTTTTCTCTAGTTAATGCAAAATCATTCTTAATTCGATATATTTAGAGATACAATTCGTTAGTTTCTAACTAGTCAAATTCAGTACTTAGGACTGGTTTTTCAATAAACAGATAAATGTTACCTGAGGAATTTAAATTGTTGCTGTCACTGTCTTATACAAACATTCTGACGCGACAGCATCATAATTATTCCGCAGATAACTTTTATCTAACTACTAGCTACTCCCGCGCGGCTTCACCCGCTGCTCGGCTCCATTTCATCGTAGCGTGATGTTTTATAGCCTATAGCACTCAGGAACTTTGTAGCTATTTATCAATGAAAGAATTTTGGCAATCCGACCAGCGGTTCCAAAGATTACCCCCTACATACAAACTTAAAAATTTTACGTCTCTATAATATTAAGTATAGATTGAAAAATCTACCCTAAGTGAATTATCGAATGTAATCGATATAACATTTTGTTGTAATGATGTATCAAAATAATAAAAGTATTTGTTCGAATTGATACTCGTAACGCCATTAGATATGTTTATGGTTTAAAAAGAATTGTGTGGCTATAAATACTTTTGAAAGTGGAATAAAAAGTTAGTCTGTTGTTTTGCTACATTTTTTTTTTTTTAATGTAATAAGTCGGCAAACGAGCAGACGGATTACCTGATGGTAAGCAATCAACGCCGCTCATGGACACCCGCAACGGAGGAGTTACGAGTGCGTTGCCGACCTTTTAGGGATTAGGGATTTGGAGATTTAGGGATTGGGGAAGGGTCCGGGAAGGGGAAGGATTGGGCCTCCGGTAACCTCACTCACACGGCGAAACACAACGCTGTTGTTGTTTCACGCCGGTTTTCTGTAAGGCCGTGGTATCACTCCGGTCGAGCCGACCCATTCGTGCCGAAGCATGGCTCTCCCACACTTTAGACATTCACGTTGTTTGCTTATACATTTCCACATTACAGTGAATATCTAGCAACGTTTAAGAAGACGGTGGCTATGCACGAAGTATTCCTGCAGCGCCTGGCCGCTCACCCTGTCTTCAGAAACGATTCCCATCTCCGAGTCTTCCTGGAGTATGAACAGGATCTCTGTGCCAAACCGAGGGGGAAAATGGACCTGATTGGTGGATTGGTAAGCATATCTATCTATCTATATGAAGGGGAGGTGTGTGGGCGTTCGCCTTCTTCCATTTTCAAATTTAATGAAATAAGGCTTCTTGCGTATTCTCTGTTTTATTGTGATTCCGGAACGCGGTGAAGTCGGTCGCACGCTGGCACATGGTTCATATCTCCAAAAAAGTGTGTGGTGGCCGTCACTTCGCTGACAGCTGACAACCCTCCGTGTTGCCAGCTCCATAGTGTTGCCAGCGCACATTCCGAATACACCCAAGTCGATGTTGGCTTGACGTTCCGTTTTTTAATCTCCGACATATATATATAAAAATGGATCGCAAAATGTGTTAGTAAGCGCATATCAACAACGCCTGTACCAATTTTGCCAATTCGTTTTTTGATGTTTTTGTTATGGTCAGGAGAAGGTTCTTATGAAAAGAATTCTAGAAAAGTAGAGGGGATGGGAAATAAGGACACTTTGGTCGTTAGAAAGATAGTGGGAGACGAGTGCGAAGCAGGGGCGGGCCGCTAGTTTATAATAGTTTGTAAAACCTAATATCAAGTGTGTGAATGGGTCGGCTCTGGAGTGATGATACCACGGGCTTATAGAAAACCAGCGTGAAACTACAGCGTAATCTTTCGCCGTGTAAGTGAGGTTATCAGAGGCCCAATCCCTTCCCCTCCCCCCATCCCTTCCCAATCCTTAAATATCCGAAACCCTTACCCCTAAAAGGCCGACAACGTTTTTTATTATAACTTTCGTGAGACATTCTAAATTAATTATTATGTTTTCGGCTTACGTAATAATTCGATGAGATACTCGACTAGTTTCAAGCCATGCTAGAGGCCCATATTCATGAGCAGCCTTCCTCGACATGCGACGCGGCGACTGTCACGCTGCTACTCTTTCTTCTCCATCGGAATCTACACTTTGGAACGAGCAAATAGCTTCACTAAGAGGAATGGCCGACAGACTGACACTTTATTTCTTTAAAATTTTGTTTGACTTTCAAAAGTGCCTGTACGGTTCTAAATGATTTTGACTTTGACTTTGACTTTGACTATCAACAGATGCGGTCAATGACGACCACTACAGATGAGATCTACCTCGGGGCGACGGTGCGCGATGTTAACGATTTCTTCGAACAAGAGACGACGTTCCTTCAAGAGTATTATTCACATCTCAAAGAGGCTGTAGCTAAGGTCGACCGTATGACTACTAAGCATAAAGGTAAATTGAACTTTGTTTTTGAAGATTTAAGGTTTATTTTGGTGTGTTTTTATTTATTTATTTAGGTATATAAGGTGATTGGTAATTAGTTACTGATATTTAAACACGTGATTGTAGTGATGACAAATAATTTTCTCAAAGAAAGGATTATCTGATGGTAAGCAATCGCCGCCGCCCATGGACGCCCGTAACACCAAAGGAGTTACAAGTGCGTTGCCGGCCTTTTGTGAAGAGGGAGGGATTGGGCCTCCGGTAACTTCACTTACACGGCGAAACACAACGATGTGGTTGTTTCACGACGGTATTTTGTGAGGCCTTTGAGGCCTTGGTATCATTCGGATCTCCCACACAAAATAAAGCTATTGACTATATAAATAGTTTCTTTGGGAAAGATTTTTAGTATCATGAGTACAATCACGTGTTTCGCCTCTCTAACTTCCCTTGGTATACGACAGAGGTGGCGGACGCCCACATCAGACTGTCGTCCTGCATCACGCAGCTTGCCACCAGGGAACAGCCCCCCACCGAGAGGTTCCTCACCAGGGCCGCTGAGACATTCGACAAGTGCAGGGTGAGTGTGTTTTAAACCATTTATTTAGCTACACATGCATAAGTTGAAAACGTACAAAAATAAACAACACTAAACATAATTTTCAACAAAAAAAACCGACTTCAAAAAGTAAACTAAAAAGCAAAAAATAAATTTACTTTGTTCAAAATAATACCTACATATTTTCATTTAGTTAAATAGAAAATAATATTTAATAACTATTTTATAATCTTAAAGTCAGTGCCAAGTAAAACAATAATAGTGTAAAGATATTCCTACATACCTCTTGCTAGTTTGATGATTAGTTGGTACCGATCAATATATTTTTCTAATACTGTTGTTGTTTGGTATGTAGCATTTACTTGGCACCGACTTCAAAATTATAAAATAGTTTAGTTTACTTTTTGAAGTCGGTTTTTTTTGTTGAAAATTATTTTTTGTGTTGTGTAGCAAGGGGTCCATCTCAGTATATGCTGTGCTAATGCATAGCACTGGTTTACAGATGGCCCCTGACTGTTGGGGTAAAACACATCTGCGAGCACACGAACATAAAAAAACACAAAATGAATGACGTGATGTAAAAAAAAAATTGTATGCACTTATCCTTGAAAAAAAAACATATTTAACTAAGTTTGACAAAAAAAAGAAACTTTGCAAAATAATATGATAAATTTTTTGTATGTGATAAGTCGGCAAACCAGCAAACAGATTACCTGATGGTAAGCAATCAACGCCGCCCATGGACACTTGCAATGACGGAGGTGTTGCTAGTGCGTTGCCGACTTTTTAGAGATCTGGAGATTTTAGGATTGAGGTTGTACGGTAATCGCACTCACACGGCGAAACACAACGCTGTGATTGTTTCATGCCTTTTTTCTGTGAGGCCGTGGTATCACTCCGGTCGAGCCGACCCATTCGTGCCGAAGCATGGCTCTCCCACATTTATCTATATGTCCGCTTTCTTTTACGGGACCACAGAATCCCAGACCTTTGGAAGCCGTATGGTATTTGAACAACTTTAATATTAGTGAAATTTGATATCAACCGTAAGTATCCCTTTATGGTGAGCCTCACCCAGCACGGAAAAAGTCAATGGATTTCATAACCCAAAAAAAGTTAAAATACCAAAAATCAGACTACCCTGAAATAGTAGAATTGGTTAGTTTTCTAGATCAAAAATAAATTAATTTCGTTTCAACATAATAAAATTGAAAAATAACTATACTTTAATTCAACGATCAATTGAAACACAAAATTTTGATATTTTTTAGCTAATGTTTAAGAAGTAAGTAGGTAAGCTATTTGATGCAAAAATACTATGACGTCATAACAGTTTTTCATACCAACTTCATAGAAAAGTATCGTTTTTGACATTTGGATAAAAGTATTGAATTTGACTAGTTGGAAACTACCGGATTGATTATGATGGAAGATGGCTGGCAGGAGCTGGATGCGAGTGGCCGAAGATCGATCCCAGTGGCGTGCAATAGGAGAGGCCTATGTCCAGCAGTGGACTGAAAAGGGCTGATGATGATGATGATGATGATGATGATGGATTGATTATATCATAATAAAAAAAATATGTGAATATTCTCCACAGAAAATCGAAGGTCGCATGGCATCAGACCAGGATCTGAAGCTAGCCGATACTCTCCGGTACTACATGAGAGACGCTCACGCTGCCAAGGCAGTCCTCGTCAGGAGACTCAGGTATGATGTACTGGATCTTTGACACCAGATCATTAAACTTGCATCATCTATACTATCTATACTAATATTATAAAGAGGTAAAATTTGTAAGTTTGTATGTAGGGGGTAATCTTTCGAACCGCTGATCGAATTGACAAAATTCTTTCACTGATAGATAGCTACAATGTTCCTGAGTACTATAGGCTATAAAACATCACGCTACGATTTAATGGAGCCGAGCAGCGGATGAAACCGCGCGACAAAAGCTAGTCAGCCTATAAGTATCCACTGCTGAGCAAAGGCCTCTTCTCACACTGAGAAGGTTTGAGCATCAATCACCACGCTTGCTCAAGGCGGATAGGCGATTTTTAATTTATAATTACAAATTATAAGTCCAGGTTTCCTCGCGATGTTTACCTTCACCGTATGTCTGTGGTGTCTAAATAATCATAGACAGTTATGTGCATCCTACTTATATTGTAAGTAGGGATTAATGTTGTGTTTTTTATGGGATATGTCGGCGAACGAGCTGAGGGATTACCTGATGGTAAGCAATCAGCGCCGCTCATAAACACTCGCAATAACAGAGGACTAGCGAGTGCGTTGCCGGCCTTTTGGTGATAAAGGTTTCGGATATATAAGGATTGGGAAGGGATGGGGGAAAAGCGAAGGATTGGGCCTTCGGAAACCTCACCCACGAAACACAACGCTGTCTTGTTTCACGCCGGTTTTCTGTGAGGCCGTGGTATCTCTCCGGTCGAGCCGACTCATTCGCGATGAAGTATAATCTCTCATATGTTTTCTATTTAATAATAGTAATTATATTATTACAGATGTTTAGCAGCTTATGAAGCTGCTAATAGAAATCTGGAGAAGGCCAGAGCTAAGAACAAGGACGTCCATGCTGTAAGTATATTTTTCAGTCGATTTTGAACCTTAAAACCCTGGCACTAAAGTTCATTGTCTATCTTATGAGAGGAATTTCTGTGACAAACGAATGTCGACCTTATTTTGTAACAGTTTAAGTTCATAGTATAAGGATACATTTGAATTTAGAACTTGATTCGCAGATCAGGCTCTAAGTGTGAGAATTTAAAAATATCATCAATATTTTTTAATAAGCACGCCAAAGAAAAATGTACTCTCTTACATGGCATTAAAGTTGATAATACGTCTCATACGGTTTGTAAAATAAATTCTATTACTTAAAATAATTATATGAATTACATGAATAAGCATTAGTGGCTTTGAAATTGTGTATCTATTCCGTTCACATTGTGTTGTTTTTTGCTGGGCACGTGTTGAGATGTTAGGCGGTTATCATTAATTCTATTATTGTGATATGAAACGAACTCTCAAATTGGATAAAAAATATACAAGACTACTAGTCTCCAAAGAAGGGAAGTGTGGCAGAGCCATGCTTCGGCACGAATGGGTCGGATCGACCGGAGTGATACCACGGCTATAACAGAAAATCGGCGTGAAACAACCGCAGCCTTGTGTTTCGCTAAAAAGCTGTAAATGAAGATGTCTTGTTCCTATCAATACAGAAATAATTCAATGTTTTAGATTTGAAGATATTGCCTTAATAACGTTTTTCTACTACGACTACATTTATATTAAAGTTTTTTTTCTTCAAACGTTGGCCACCAACATCCCAATATGTGCCCAATCTACCACAAATGTTTGATTTGACATATTTTTATGTAAAACGCAGCCCTTGGAAGTACAGGAGGTAAAAATTAGTTTGGACTTTCTTCAATCTATTTGTAGTTTTAATAGCGTGGTTATAGAGTTTAGAATGCTAAAAAACCTGTCTCCCGTTCTTGTTGCATTTCTGCTGTTTTTTTTGGCCACTATCACGCCTGGTGGTAAGTATAAGCAACCTATTCACTCGAACCTTGAAGACATCCAGGTGATACCCTTCATCTTCGGCCACCGTAAGCACGGGTCTGCGGACGGCGAGTAAGGGTAGCTCGCCGCCCGACCAGAACCAAACCCGAGCGTATGGCGCGTAGCGTTCCGCGCGCGCCTCAAAGAGCCAATAGACCACCACAGACGGGGCCCTATAGGGCTGATGTTCAGCCGGAGTTGCGGGGCAAACGCAATGAGTCACCGCGACCTCGGCCCAGAGCAGGAGAAGGAACAGGGGGGTTTTTAGTCAGTAAGAGTCTGACACTCTCTCTCGCCTAACCCTGGGCGGGAAAAGACATTTGATGATTATCCCCTGATAAAAAAAAGGTTGTACCCTTCAGGGAACACAGATTCCGGCAACGAATTCCACTCCTTAGCGGTTCTGATTATAAAACTGGAGGCGGGTGTAACCTCATAGCCGTAATTAGTCTTTTGAAAATTTGAAATTATTTGTAATGCTTTTCCTCCCTGGTTTCTGCTGGGTTCTTGTAGTTATAGAAAGTGTTGGAGTATTATTTTGTTTTGTAGCGGATTTTCCCGTAGTGTATAATTTTCGCTTACTCCTCCATAGAATATATTTGATGCGAGCAAATCTTGCGAAAGAGTATACGTTGTGTATTTAGATATACGGCCTTATTCATATGAACTATTCGAGAAAAGCTCGACTAGTTTCAAGTTACACCGGGACTCTTATTCATGAATGCGTCATAGATCTTTTCTCAACGAGATCACGTGAGTCAGTCGTTTATTTTAAGAAGAGACTATATTCACCTGCAGCTCGGTTTCTATTGGTTGTAGCGTGATGTTTTATAGCCTATAGTCTTCCTCGATAAATGGACTATCTAACATAAAAATAATTGTTCAATTCGAACCAGTAGTTCCTGAGATTAGCGTGCTCGTACTATCTCTTTAGCTTTATAATATTACTAGCTACTACCGCGCGGTTTCACTCGCTGCTCGGCTCCATTTAATCGTAGCGTGATGTTTTATAGCCTATAGAACTCGGGAACTTTGTAGCTATCTATCAGTGGAAGAATTTTAGCAATCCGACCAGCGGTTCCAAAGATTACCCCCTACATATAAACTTATAAATTTTACCTTTTTATAATATTAGTGTAGATAGTCTACTACCAGTAGCTTACTAGCGGCTTTTTCAATAATATATAATATTATGTATGTTTATTTATTCTAAACATGCAGATTAGTATGTATGTGTGTGTCTGCATGATTGTATATGTAGTTTGTATCGGTGTATATCTATTATATGTATTATTACTAGCTACTGTCGCGCGGTTTCACCCGCTGCTCGGCTCCATTTGATCGTAGCATGATGTTTTATTGCCTATGACATTCAGGAACATTGTAGTTATCTATCAGTGGACGAATTTTAGCAATCCTACCGCTGCAAAGGTTACCCCCTACATACAAACTTACAAACATACAAATTACAAATTTTACCTCTTTATAATATTAGTATAGATGTGTATTTACGTATACAAATGGATTTTATGATTACTAAAACTGTTGATTGTTTCAATAGATATTGTATTTTTGTAAATGCAGCCACGACTGGAGTAAATCCTAGTAGTAGGGGAGCCCATGAAGGAATTTCGGTAGTTACTCGAGCGCGTCAGATTAACATATGGGGAATATTTAGTAACCTATTGAATATACCCATCATATACCTAATGTGTCGTGGTGGCCCGGAGGTTAAGGAGCCCGCTTCTCATGCATGAGGGCGTGGGTTCGAAACCTGGCAAGTACCAATGCGACTTTTTCCGAGTTATATGTACTTACTATGATTATTTAGACACCACTGTCATTCGGTGAAGGTACACATCGTGAGGAAACCTGGACTTATAATTTCTAATTATAAGTTTGAATTCGCCAACCCGCATTTGCAAGCGTGGTGATTACTGCTCAAACCTTCTCTGTGTAAGAAGCCTTTGCTCAGCAGTGGACACTTATGGGCTGATGATGTGATGTGATACTTAATGTAAATAGAGGAGGAGGGATAACAATATAAAAAAATAACTAAATACAGTCGTTTTCGTCAGATTAGGGGGGTTGTTATGTCAAAGAAAGGGCGTTTAAAATATCAGCCGATTTCATCGTCGTTTACAATAGCAATAGAGTTTTGAACGGGTCCCGTTTCTATCCCCTTAGTTAGCCAATCCCACCATGCAATTCGGCAGATAAGAAATATTTTCATTGTCAGAAATACATGAAGAATATACATTATTAATATCTGTCTCGCTCGTGCACTAAAACAAAAGTTACATATTACAATTTTGGAAAACTATCATTCCCCTTACCCTCACCGGAGGAATGAAATGTCATTAAGCCATTTTTTCTTTCTATCACCAGATCTTCAGAATCCAGTTACTCCCTACGACGCTTGAGTAACTACAAATTTCGCATCCTGGGCTCCCCTACTATAGAGTTTGTCGGGGTTGCGGGTTAAGCGCAATAATGTAGGAGAATTATATTAATGGATGTTATTATTCATATAAACCTTTCTTTTCAATCACTCTATTAAAAAACCCGCATCAAAATCCGTTGCGTAGATTTAAAGATTTAAGCATACATAGGGATATAGGGACAAAGAAAGCGACGTTGTTTTTTACTATGTAGTGATAAAATATGATATTCATTTTATCAGGCGGAACAAGCTCAGGCGGACGCATGCGCGAAATTCGAGCAACTGTCTGCGCGTGCGCGGGAAGAACTCATCGATTTCCGCACTCGAAGAGTGGCTGCGTTCAAGAAAAGGTGAGTTTTTTAAGTGACTTTGTTTTAATATTCAACATATGGCGCTACTGCACAGTGAGGTGGTTTGTCCGTTAGATTTTTAAATTATTAAAAAAAATCAAATTTAATACTTTACTCGAACTATAAGACAAGCTTCGGCACGAATGGGTCGGCTCGACTGAAGTGATACCACGGCCTCACAGAAAACCGGCGTGAAACAACCACAGCGTTGTGTTTCGCCGTGTGAGAGAGGTTACCAGAGAATTTAACAATAGTGATGCTTTACTAAAATTCGCGGGTTACTCACGTGTAAATGTTGAGAAAAGCTCTACTAGTTTCGAACCACAGAGGGGTTCTTCCTCATGAGCAGCGTGCGTTACACGTGAGTAACCCGCGAATTTTAGTAAATTTAGTATGTCTCACGATAGTTATTATAAAAAAATAGTAATGCTTAGTAATTAATAATGATTTTTTGTAAGTAGTGAGGTAAATTTTTCCAGAAATAAATTCTTTATTTGAGGAAAAAAATATTATGTCACATACCAAGTTCATAGAAAAGTATCGTTTTTGACATATCAATAAAAGTATTGAATTTGACTTGTTTGGAACTACCCTTTGTTGCCAAAATCAGTTATAATTCATAACCTTATTAAGACGTGGTGGGTGAGCAACTGACTGCCGCGTGACTTGTCGCGGTGTTGATACCCGCTAGGAACAACTCTTCCTATGTGTGATTCACAAATTGTTGTGTGACGTGTATGTCAAATTGTATGTTTGTAAACCCACAGGAGAAAATCCTAATGTGGGCTAACGTATTTTTTTTTATACCTGTTTACTAGTTATAATAAGGTTCAAAATGATAAAACTTTAAAGATAAAGATATATTTATTTCGCAAATATGGGTAACAATCAAGATGACAAATTTTTAACAAGCACAGCCATATTTTACCATTGGGCATGCAAAATACAAAAACATTGCTCGATAAGTTAAATAAAAAAATTAAAATTAAAACAATCTACAGCAAAAATACAAACTTAATACAGACTAATAACCTAATAAAATCACTTATTACTTCAAAACCTAAAAATAAATTGTAAATTCAATTTTAATTTTCTCATTCCAGCCTCCTAGATCTAGCAGAATTGGAGATTAAACACGCTCGCTCCCAACAGGAACTGTTCAGAAAGTCACTGCAAGTATTAAAAGAATGCCAGTAAAATAATGAAAATATATAATCTTTTAGGAATTATTGTTATCAATATCATAATACAATATTATAATATAATTTTTAAAATAATAATGTGGCTGCTTCTCCCAATGAATGGGGGATATTATTTAAAAAAAATATTGCCCTTCACTTGGAATAAAAAAAAAATAGACACGTATTTTTTCCTTTTTTTTTCTATACAGTTTTTATGTTTAGTGTGGGAGAGCCATGCTTTGACACGAATGGGTCGGCTCGAACCGAGTGATACCACGGCCTCACAGAACATTGGCGTGACATTTTCCTTAGTGTTATGTACAAGAATGTAAATGAGGTTATCTGGAGCTCTATTCTTCCTTCCCCTATCCCCAAACCCAAGATTCAAGGGGAATGGATCTTTAAATTCTTTACCTCCGGAAAACTTTTAGTTTTTTTTGTCAGGGGAAAATCGTCATATGATTTGTCCCGCCCAGGGTAAAGCGAGAGTGAGTGTCAGACTCTTACTGAATAAAAACGCCCCGTTCCTTCTCCTTCTCTGAGCCGAAGTCGTAGTGACTCATTGCGCTTGACCCGCAACCCCGGCTACCTATGAAAGGCTGGAAACGCTTACTTTAATATTGTAGGTGTCCATGGACGGCCCCGATTGCTTACCATCAGGTGATCAGCTTAGCAGCCGACCTGTTCCCTTTAAAAAGTGCTAAATATTTATTTCATTATCCAATTATTGTAACTAAATACATATTGAATTTACACACTACGTAAAATTAAAAAAAAAAAAACATGAAATACAAGAAAAAACCAGTTATTTTTGCAAACATTTTAAAAAGCATTATTATTATTATTAGACCTTTTTTAAGAGGGGGAAATCGTCAAATGACTTCTCCTACTCCCTGTGTGGGGTGAAAGGTAGTGTCAGACTCTTACTGACTAAAATCCACCCTGTTCCTTTTCTTGCTTGAGACCGGGGCCGAGGTACTCAAAACATATAGGTCCAGGTTGGATTTTGAACCGTGTTTAATAGAGTTATAGAAAATTCCAAATTTGAAATTATATCCTTATCTGCCTATGACATAAGTAAAAATCAAGCGACGATCTCCAGCCACCGTAAGCGCGGGTCTGCGGACGGCGAGTAAGAATAGCTCTCCGCCCGACCAGAACCAGACCCGAGCGTACGGAGCGTAGCGTTCCGCGCGCGCCTCAAAGAGCCAATAGACCACCACAGACTGGGCCCTACTTTGCTACTTTTTAGTCAGTAAGAGTCTGACACTCCCGCCCGTCCTTCCTTGGGCGGGAGAAGTAATTTGATTACTTTCACTTCACAAAAAAAAAACAAAAATTAAGCGTTACTTTATTTTTATAAATTTATATTTTGTTTTTCTAATGAACGGCGGACCAAATTTTTATTCGTTTATATTTTTTTAAGCTTTCTTTTTTATTTGAAAAATTCTTAAGTTTTGAGTTTCGTACAAAATTTTTTTTCTGAATATCGGTACGGTGCCAAAATCCGGGTCACGCTTGACCGGTTTTTAGGCGTTTAAGTAGAGGTTTTGCCTCTTAGTCATAAATAAATGTAACTAAATGTACGGGATTTTAATTTATTTATTAGAATATATATTTTTCTTAAAAAAAGAAGTCTCGAAGTCTATTCCTGAATTGATCAAAGTATCATTAGTATGTTCTAGTTTTTGAAATTTACTGGTCTGGCGAAAAGTCTGGCTTGTAGTGAAAAAAATTGTCTTATTAAATACCACTATTTTATTCTAATAAATAAATTAAGATCCTCCATTTTAAATCTAAGGTACTATATTGTAATTATTATTATTACTTATAAAAAAATGGTACTGATTATATTGTCGTTTTTTTTCTATTTTTTTTTTATTATATGTAAATCATGCTGTGTAATGATTAAGTTTAGTGAAAAATAAACACTTGTTTTGGCTATGCAAATTTATAAATTTTATTAAAATAACTATTTAGAGCGATGTTTATGTACAAGACTAATTTAGGTGATATTCGTCCCATAACCAATTGTTGTTTATTACTGTCGTGGTAGTCCAGAGGTTAAGGCGTCCGCTTCTCATGCATGAGTGTCAGAAACCTGGCAAGTACCAATGTGATTTTTTCCGAGTTATATGTACTTTCTATGATTATTTAGACACCACTGACATACGGTGAAGGAAAACATCGTGAGGAAACCTCGACTTATAATTTCTACTTATAAGTTTGAAATCGCTAACCGGCCTTGAGCAAGCGCGGTGGTTAATGCTTAATAAAGTAATGTAATATATTTTTTTCTAAATTTACAATTTAATTTAATTAAAATTTCATTAAAAATATTATGTGGCGAGTGTTTGCAATTACTGGTGCAACAGAGTGCCGGTCAATACTTATTTAGCGTGTTGAATAGTGTGTTGATAGTATCTGGCATTGTCTGGCATACGAATTTAAAATCTGTAAATAGTGTCTGGTATTATAAAATTTGTATCTAGCATGTGGAACCAGCTTCTGAACATATTAATTTGGTGTAGTGAAACTGGTTTTGCTCGGTTCTTGGAGTCTGGCGATATTGTAATGGTGTCTGGTCAAGTGTCTGGCGATCTTTCCAATGTTGTCTTGTTACATAAATATTCGCTTTAACCAAAGTCTTCGTAAAACATAAAATGTATCATGTAAGAAAAATGTTATTTTCAATTTTAAAATGTTTATATTTTAAGAAAATATATGATTATCCATATTCTTTTTGAGTTTTATTTATTTTTCCTTCTTCTTTCTTTATCGTCGTGGTGGCCCGAAGAGGAGCCCGCTTCTCATGCATGAGGGCGCGAAACCTGGCAAGTACCAATGTGAGTTTTTTCGAGTTACATGTACAGTCAGCTCCAAAAGTCGATGAACAGAATCAACTTACCAAAACACCTGTTCACAATAAAACGCCATAAGTTATAGTCGCAACTAGGAAACAAAATAGCCTGTACACCAGAAATTTACAAAAGTCGTTACACACGACTAATTCAAAAGTATCTGTGCACTAGTATTCCTAAAGTCGCTGTACACCTTCAATCCAAATGTCGCTGAACATCATTGTATCAAAAGTCACTAAACAGCAGTAAAGACAAAATTAGGTTAACAAAGTATATTTTTAATGTTGCCCCGTGTTAATATACTTTTGACGCTTATGTTGTTCAGCTACTTTTGGGACAGTGTTTCCTAGACCTTAATAATGTATGTTAACAGGTTAGTATCTACATATTTCAAAACTTATTTACAAATAAATTATATTTTATTGTCAGTAATCATACTAATCTATAATTTATTAAATAACATAAATATAACTCTAATGATCTACTAAGTGATTTTTGTGACGGTACTTGTAATTTACTTTGCGCAAATCTTACAAAACCTACCTTCCTTTAATTTATTATTTTTATCCGACTACGGCAATGCTAAAATTTAAAGAATTCGACATATGACATATCATTAGATACGTCTTAATTGTCCGCTGGTTATAAGTTATATGATGTATTACAAAATCTAATGCAGCGTCCTCTAGCGGACAAAACAACCAGAGTAAAAAAACTAAAACCCAACTACGACAAACATCTAAAAAAGCTAAAAAGCGATCTGAAGACTGTACTGGAAAAGTAACAGTTAAGTTGTTGTGTGCTAAGGCACGAGTCGCCCCAATGAATCCAACCACTATACCGAGGCTGGAGTTGTGTGGCGCACTCCTAGGGGCTCGTCTATGTTCTAAGGTATTAGATTCCTTGCAATGTAATATATCCCGAAAAGTTCTATGGTCTGATTCGATGGTTGTGTTGGGATGGGTGCAAACTCCACCCAGGGATCTTAAAGTATTTGTTTGTAATAGAGTGAACGAAATAAATATACTGACACCGGGATTCGACTTTAGATATGTACCAACTGATCAAAACCCTGCAGACATGGGTTCTAGAGGTGTGTCTCCCAAGCAGTTAAAAGCTTCTAGCCTTTGGTGGGCAGGGCCTTCGTTCCTCGCTAATGACCCTACTTGTTGGCCTACACAACAACAAATCCCTAGTTTACCAGAACTTAAAATCCCACCCAACATTGAATGTTACACCACAATTGTAAATAACATAATTGAATTTGAAAAATATTCTAACTTTAATAAACTTATTAGGATCTATGCATATGTGCAACGTTTTGTACATAATTGCTTAAATAAAAATAGTAGAATTAGTGAACCATTAGATGTTAAGGAATTAGATAAGTCATTATTAACTTTAGTTAGGTTAAGTCAGTTGGATAGTTACTCTGACGAAATTAAATTAATTTGTGATAAGAAAACTCTTAATTGTAAGTCTAAATTATTGTCGTTGAATCCTTTCTTAGATGACAACAATATATTGAGAGTTGGTGGTAGGCTTCAAAATTCAGAATTTGATTATGATAAGAAGCACCCCATGATTTTAGATGCAAAACATCAGTTCACTCAATTGTTATTCAGGCAAGAACATGAACGTTTATTTCATGCAGGACCGCAACATCTGCTAGCGTCTATCAGAGAGCGATTTTGGGCCATAGGAGGTAGAAATTTAGCTCGCAGTACGACTAAGAAGTGTCTACTCTGTGCTCGCTTTCGAGGAAAAACCATTCAACCAATAATGGGTAACTTACCTTCGGAAAGAACTTACTCAATGTTTCCTTTCTACACATGCGGTGTAGATTTTGCTGGTCCTTTTACTATTTCAAGTCGCAAAGGTAGAGGAAGTCAATCCTCAAAATGTTATTTATGTTTATTTGTATGCCTCTCGACTAAGGCGATTCATTTAGAATTAGTAAGCAGTTTGAGCTCTGATGCATTTATATTGTCTTTAAAAAGGTTCATATCAAGAAGAGGCAAACCTAGTGTCATCTATTGCGATAATGGCACTAACTTCAGAGGCGCAAATAACGAAATGTCTAGAGTGCTCAGGTCCAATCGTAAGTGTACTGATAATTTCGCAAATGATAATGGTATAAAATTCGTATTTAGCCCGGCGTACTCACCTCACTTTGGGGGCATATGGGAAGCAGGAGTCAAGTCGGCAAAGTT